ATATGTGATCCTTTTCTGGTTCCCAAAATAAGGGGCTGGTCCCTACAAGAGGTGCACTCTATTGCGGAGTGGAGAAATTAATTTCAATTACAACATTTTCTTGTTTTCTTCCACAGGTAGGGAAATTACACTGATTTGTAATTTTTTTATATATATATACTTTTTGTAAATACAAGGTTTTAAATCAAACTTCACCAGAGGTTTAAAGCTGTAGCTGTGAATATGTTGACGTGTGGGTCTCGACAAAAGTCCTTTTTTACAAATGGGGGTCTGGGAACAACTGAGATTATTATTATTAGAGATTATCAGTCAATCCCATCAACTCAGCTGGCAGAACAGCAATTAGATTACACCGTGAGGCTCCAGAGCTGCTGGGCACTCTTCATCTCACCTCAGTTATTTCAGTCCACAGTATTTACTACAAGTGGCTCTGCTCTTTGTCTTCAGAGCAAGTCAACGTGAGGTTCAGTGCCTGCTCCTGAAGTGCTGTGTCACGACTGTCATATCTCACGATGAAAAATTAAAGCCGGTCTAGCCGACGGTGATGTGACGCCGTCGGTCAGATTCCCTGCAGCACCAGTAAAGCTCCAGAGACCGTGGCTCTGTCAGAGAGGTACCACCACCATGCCTATTATGGGCACCAGTAATGTGAGTGAGATCTATATCTGCGAGCAGATTGTCTGTCTGGCTCCAATCTCCTGTGCCGTCTGGTGGACGGAGCAGAAGAAAGGCTCGGTATTGACATGAACGGCCTCCTCTATGAAGACCTGAAGGTCAGTCTGAGGAAACTGACAGACAGGAGGAAAGAGACACGAACACAGAGCACTCCGGGGACGGCGTTGGCATTAAAACCCACTCATGCCTCAATAAGGATCACTTTGGCAACGGACGCCTGTTTTTAAACTTAATAGAGGAATCAGGCACTTTTTAATGACAGAGCGCTGTTGTTCAATATCAGCAAGTGCTGCACTGCAAACTGTGCATAAAAAATGAACAACCTACAGACATGGCTACGTCGCCATCTCCTATAGATTTATAAAGAATATCTCGTTCCATCATTCCAACATATGACGGTAAAACTCGCCAACCAGTTCGCACAGGAACTAGTTAAGCAACAGAGCGGACAAATACGCTGTCACATGGTGCTATACCCGGAAGATAGCTTTGTTTACATATGCAATATACTAAACTGTACTACATTTGCTTTCACCTGGTGCAACATTGTAATGTGTGGTAAGAAAGTGGTTCATGTTGCACAGGACTTGTAACAATCTTTTGTCCATTTAAGGTAGTAATTTCCAATCCTAAAACCTGCTGAGAAAAGAATGAACACCTTGGTCCACAGTAGTCCAGTTTTTTGTGATTCTGGTACCTATGGTTCAGGGTCAGTACCAGTGGTACAAAAAAATCCATAAGAAATGGCAGTGTCTTACAGTATATATCAAATCTGACCAGTTTACAGTGAGGCTTAAATCATACAAAGTTACAGTGTGTGGACCACATTTTGGTCAGTTAAAATAGCACATGAGATGAGAATGCATGCTTTTGAATGAAAGTTGAAAAGTAATAGATGAAAACAGATGCGGTTCGACTTTTATAGCAGTTACGTTTGACAGGGAAGTCTTTGAAGTGAAGATCTGAAGGAGATGCCAACGGATTACAGTGATTCACGACGGCCTTTTCTGCTACTGAGAAGATGCTATTCCCTCAGTGAAGTTGTTTTAGTCAGAAAACTTTTCCCCAGATAATATATGTATTCATCAGAACTGTTTGGTTTATACTGACTGTCACCAGAGCCATTAATGCCACAAATCAACAACTAAGTTTGAAGTCTTGGGGAAAAAATCCTGAATGTTGGGCCATGTTCTTGAACTTCCAAATGCCAAATATTTACATTTCACAAAGGTTTGACATTTGGAATGAATCATCAAAGTATACAACGAGTAGAGTAAAAGCCAATATATCGTCGTTATTGCTGACAGTATAATTAAATGATAAAACCTGAAAGTGCTGTTATCTGTGTTTGTGTGATGAATGAAATGACGGAAACACCACTGCTTGACTTCTGGGTATAACATTACAGGTAAGTACTGTGAAAACCCCGAGTCACTGCCGATATTATAAACAATCATCAATGTTTGTGCGTTGTAGTTATCCCATAATTATATTTGCCCAAAAATGATTTATATTAGTAAAGATGCATTCAATAAAGCAATGTTTTCTCATGGCATCATAATACACAGTTTAGGATCAATTACATAACTTTATATAGGACATTATTTCTGCAAGTATTATATAGTATTTGAAGTATTCGTTTTTAAAAAAATCTGAAAAAGTGAACCATGTTTTGCAGTTTACCTAGAAGAGCAGTAAAAAAAAATCACCAGATAAAGACCTTATTTTATTAATTACTAAAACACTAATTTAACACCCCATTAGTTATTAATCACTCAACTGATTATTGTATTATTTAGTGCGTATTATATCGGTTTTTTTGACAACAAGATGGAAGTTGAACGCTTTTTTTTTTTTTTTTTTTTGGACAACACATTTTTTACTTATTCTCTTGCAATCCATTTGTGGGTTCCAACCCAGTCTCAGGAGAACACTGATCGGCAACACAGCAGTTTGTAATCGCTGTGAACACCGGGAGAGGAGGCATGTTACGTTCAAAGACACACCGAGTTAAATTTAACACACATGTGCCGAACACAGCGACCAGACTGAGCGGATAAAGGCTAAAAATGACAAATCACAGCAGCTGGAGCCTCTGACCGCAGTCAACATGATGTTTTCACACACTCGCTGTCTATTATTAGCACGTTCGACCGCAGCATTCAAGTCACTTTATGTGTTGTCATTATTCACAACAAAGTAGAGTTTATGAATAAACGGTTTCTCGGAGTTTTTTTTTTTAACCAGCTAAGTGGCTAATGTTGTCTGAGTTTTGCTCTCATCAGCACCAGTGTGCAGGCTAACGAGCTGCACCAGCATTAGCCTGTACCACCACAGAACAACGCCGGAGGACAAAGACGGGAAATGTCCCTTTACCTTGTGTGGCCGTGTCTCCACCTAATGTTTTGGTGACCGCTTTGGGGACGAGGTTTCCTAAGAGGCAGAGTAGAAGGGCAGCGGCGTTGCTCCGGTCTACAGCCCGCATCACTGCAGATGTTAGTGTCCAAGCCGTTCAAACGGCCCAAAAACAAAAGTGGAAATCAAACCCTCCGGCTTATTTACAGCCTCGCTGACCACACACGAGCACACACACGGCTGCCGCTGCACAGAAGGACGCGCTCCATGCCCGACACCTTCCACATTCCTGGTGGATTTCCTCCTTAAAGCGGTGGCTCTTCTGTGTGGTTGTGCATCCCCAGCCCTTTTGCCGCTCGGTGATTTTTTTTTTTTCAGGGACTGGCCAATGTCAGTGAGGAGGAGGAGGAGGCGGCCCCATGTTTCTCTCATGCCCCGGTACAGCACCAACAGGCGGCTTTTTCCATGCACGGCACCGCTGACGTCTGTGGTATTTTACTGCCATCTGCCGGTCAAAGAACACATAGGCCGTGTCAGGTCAGAGGGGTGGGAACCTCGAAAAGAGCCCTTAACTGATGTGGAGAATGTTAAAATGAACACATAAATAAATATCTTGACTAGTGGTAGTCGGATTTTTTTTGTCGTCGTTGTAGTACTAGTGGTATTATTTGTTTAAGTATTGTGCTTGAAGATTTAAGGTAAAATACACAGATTTACTTCGCAAAAAAAGCAATATAATCATGTATAATGTGCTTTATCAATAAAATAACATGTTGACATAAACCTTAGCTTTAACATTTAGATTGTTCACACTGAACTGTTTCTGTTTTCCTACGGCCTTACGTGATATGTTAGCTCTGCTGCTATATTTTTGGCTAATACTTTAGCTTAAAGGATCTTACTAAATTATAATAATTATTATTATACTTCTTCTTATTATTATTCTTTCGTTTGTAACAATGTTTTACCCATTTCAGGAATGCGTTTTGGCAAGGTGGAGCTTCACCTGTGTTTTCGTGTTTAGTTACATTTTTCGGGTTAATTTAGCTCATTTTTTTGACAACTTTATACGTGCTCTAAATTTAGTATACAGGATACGTGGCAAGTTTAAATTTAGTTGATACACGTATATAAGAATATACGTGTATGTCTGTCAGAGTCGTTTGATAATTTGAGACATTCAATTGACTAGCTTTAGCTAGTTTACTTGATATAATTCTGACATAACATTTTATTTCCTGATATTTAAATTTCCTTTTGTTTTTTGTTTTTTTACCCTCATACAAGTTGTTTGTATTTTTTATTGTACTGTTTAAAGGGCCAGAGTTTTAAACACTGTAATAGAAACATCGTCCAGGGAACAGGCAACTCCCTCCCTCCGTTCTTACCTCCCTCCCTCTGCGGACGCCACATTATTATCATCTGTGATTGCTCAGCGTCATCTGGTCACATGGCCGTGTTGCAGCACAAAACAGGAAACCTGCTTTAGGATTTTTTTAGTTTCACATTGGCTCTCTGCGGTTGACGACCTCCTGTTGAATCATGAAACACTCAGCTGTAATAATTCTCACACTCCACAGCTTCTGCACCTTCACACAGGGTAAGAGTACGTTTCTTCTCACCAGTTAGTTCCCAGTGAACTTTTAATCAGTTGATAATATTTTTTCTATTTATCAAATCTATCTATCTGTCTATCGATCTATCTATTTAGTAAAGTCATTTTTTCTTCTTTTTTTTCCAGCCATCCATGAAGTGACAACTGTGGTGGCCTGCTCTAACATAAATAACACTGTAGTGCAGACTGAACTGGATGGTGACGAGCTCTTGTATGCAGACTTTGACAAAGATTATTTTGTTTTCACTCTCCCTTCATTTGTGCAAATAGATCCAAGTTCTTATTCTGACGTTACTTCATTTAACAATGCAAAAAAAGGTAGAAAAGCATGTCCTGCTATTGTGGCATTAGCCACAGCAGAGGAAAAACATCCCCCTGAAGAGAAAGGTACTCCTCAACCTTTATCCCATCCATACATTTTAACAGCAGATGCTGATACTGATTGAAAAATGTCTTGTAACTGACACCCAGATCCCCCGGAGACCATCATCTACCCTGCAGAAGAAGTTGAGTTAGGTGTGGAAAACACTCTTGTCTGCTTCGTGAATCATTTCTACCCACCTTACATCGAAGTCACCTGGACTAAAAATGGTGTTCCAGTGAAAGAAGGGGTCACTCTGGGTCAATATTATCCCAACGACGACCAAACCTTCCACCAGATCTGCTCCTTGACCTTCACACCAAACAAAGGGGATGTTTACAGCTGCACGGTGGAGCACTTAGCCCTAGAGAGGCCTCTTTCAAGAACATGGGGTAAAATCTTTTATCCTTTACCTAATAACATCACAGTATTTATAAAAGGGCATTGGTCGACATTATTTGAATGATCGTTATCCTACACCTTTTTTTTTTTTTTTTTACAGAACCTGAATTCAGTGAACGAAGTCCTGGACCAGACATTTTCTGTGCAGTGGGCCTGGTATATGCCTTTTTTGGTATAGCAATTGGAACGTTTTTGTTTGTCAAAGCGTATCACCTCAGGCAACTTCGTATTATTTAATAAAACCTTTCCACAAGGTCAGTGCTTGGCAGATCTACATTTTAGCACTGAGGTAAAAATATTTGTTTTGCAACACAAAAAAATTGAACTATATTGATACCATATTTGGGAAGTTTTTGTGTTAAAAGCAGATATGCTATTAGCATAGGTCTTCCCTATTAGCTTCCGCCACACAGGAGAGATGGTTATAACTGTTTGCAAGATGTTTATGTTTAAATGTTGTATTAAATGTTGTGCGTGGTATGTTTCAGATTTATTAAACAGAATTTATTAAAATTTAATAAATTTTAAAAATTAATTTATTAAAAGAACCACTGTTCTTTAAGACAAGTGAAAATTATGAATTGAATTATAAGAGATGTAATGAAATACAACGCCAGCATGAAAAAAATTAAATTTTGACTCTATAATATATGTCTCTTATAATTATATAAATGGGAAACATTGTGTGTGTCAACTTTTGTGACAATATAAAATATGATGCAGATGGATGGATCTGATGATGCAGATGGATGGATGGAGAGGTGACTCATGAAAGTTTCGTATCTGCTTCACAATTTCTTTTGGAAATTAATAATAAACAACGTTTTGTTTGTGCTCATGCCTCCATCATTTTACTCATCATATTTCAGTGAAGCTTTTCTAGTTTCCACTGCTCAAGGGACATGTTAAGCAGTGACTGAATCACTCAGCCTATACTTTATTAACCAGTACTTTGTTTTGAAGTATTTTATCAGTTGATCTAAACCATAGCCAATCAAACTTCAACTTCAAAGTGTGTTGAGTGCTACCACAACAAAGAAACAAAGGTCAGAACTCTGCAGCTCAAACCGGTCATAAAACTATTCAATTTGAAGCCACAAGAACAAGGGTTTGTCGTTAACAAATCTCTAATCTTTACCGTGTTATACTTCCACATTTCTGTCCTCAGTCTGTACTCAACAGAGGAAGAAAGACTTTATGTGAATTCACAGAATCGCTTTTCTCAACTCTCTGAATGGGTGGGAAAATTTTTCAAATAATCTTCAGGTCAGGAGGTCAATCACAGACACTGAAGAAACTAAAAAAGTCTCTGTGAACTTGTACCACGTATAGACTGCATTGTTTTTGGCCATTTTTACTGACATTCAGATATTGTGTTATAATTTGAATACAGTTCAGCAGTAGCAGTAGCTGTAGCTAGATGTTAGCCATCTTTTGTTTAAGTGTTGTCCTGTGGGATCTAAGGCAACCGTCCTACCTTTCTTTTACCAAGGACCGGTCAGCTGGTATCAGCTGTCACTGCGGACTGATAACACCACGTCATTAAATTTACTTTTAGACTTTATTCTGTTAATATCAGAGTCGTATTGTTTTGAAACATTGCCAGATTTTTTTTTCACTGTGTCCCACTGCGGCCTGGTACCAACTGATCTACGGACCGGCACTGGTCCCCGGACCTGGGGTTGGGAACCCCTGATCTAAGGCCTTTATCATAGCAACTTCAAATGGAAATTCCATTTTTCTAAAGTTACTAATATTATCCTCACCTCAGTTTCAAAAACCTCAACAGTCGGTGTGGTTTTATTCACAGTTTCACAAAGTATTCAAATTATGAATATAAAAAAGGGGATGTGACCCCTGCGTTAACTTGCCTCAAACTTTTGGACTGTGTTTCAGAGTTTCTAATGACTTCATATCCAACACATGTAAGTCTGGGGAAAATAGAATAAACAGAAGACCAGGTGGTATTGAACCATGTGTCTCCTGATGGCAGGCTTTGATATGGGACTCAAACACTAACACGACTACAAGTTTTTCCTGATCACAATTTGCTACAAGGAATGTGTGGCATGGCAGCGGACACACGGTGACACACCCAGAAGTTTTATCGCTGGTGAGATTCAGGGCAAAGGTTAATTCAAACGAAAGGACTGTATCTCTCAGTTCAGATATTCAGTCAACATTTTCACCCTGTTCTTCACATCAAGAAGATTAATTGGTCTTTATAAATCATTACACCTGCCAAGAATAATGAACATAATGAAAAAATGACTTGTGGTCATAACAGTCAATGAAAGGACACCATGAAAGAAGCCACGCCCACTTACAGCAACTACAGCAACTACATAGAAACCTGATGCAGCAGCTTTATTTCCTTATTCAGCAGCCTCTCTGATCTGTCCTGCCTCGTCTGACAGCATGTTCTCACGCTGCGTTTTCACATTTTTGTGCCTCCACCTGATCGTTTCCAGAGCTGGTGAGTAAAAATGTTGATTGTTGTGTTAATTTGTGCAGATTCACATGTGAGTGTGTATGTACCTTATTTAGCTATACTTCTGGGGACACTTTTTTTTAACAAAAAAAAATACTATTGTTGCACGGACATGTCCTCATGAGAACATTTTAAAGGAAAGAGGGTAATTTGAGATGTAGTTTGGAATTGTAATTAGAATACCCTTTGTTCTTTGTTGGCACATTTTTCAGGTTTTAAAATTTAATTTGAAGTTAGGATTAGAATTAGGGTCAGAGTTTAGGTTAGGGGTTGGGGTTTGGGGGATAAGGTATTATGTCAGCGCCTCACAACTCATGAAAACCAGTCTGTGTGTGTTTGTGTGTGTGACACTATGGAACGCCTGATGGATCAACAAACCGTATGGGGCTCAAACATGTAGTGCTCTGGTGACGACCCACTGGGCCACTACTTCGCACCAGTGTTAATCTAATAACAAACAGACGAATGTGAAGTGCGCAGTAACTGTGAACTTGTTTTACAGGCGCTCTCTTCGGTTATGGTTTGATTCGATGTCAGTTCAATTCCGTCCATGACGCCGTCTACCTGGAACAGCTCTACTTCAACAAAGTCTTCCTGGGCCAGTTCAACAGCAGCGTGATGAGATTTGACGGCTACACCAACTATACAAAGGGCATTGCCAACTTACTAAACAAAAACCCTGTGTTTATAAAACAAGAGAAAAAGAACGTTTTGAAATGCACCAGCCACGTAGCCAATCTGCTGGACAGCCTTTCAAAAACAGGTAACTGTACATGTGGTAACTCATGTAGTATAACAGATGTGTCATTTCATAACAATAACTTTTCATATTGTACATTTTCAACCTTAGGGCTACAGTAAATGCTCCTCCTAATATACATACTGAGGCCTGTATTTACTCTAAGTCCCAAGCAAATCTTTTTTAGTAGTTTAGACCATTTATCTATTTTAACTTGTCACTGTTTTTGGTTTATTTTAGGTTCATTTTGGCTTTGTTTTTTTTTTTTTGCTTTTTTTTATTTATAATTTATATAATTTATATTTATTTTTTTTATTTTTAACTAAAACTCTAACTAAATCTCTTTCATTTAAGGCAAGAGCCAAATAATTAAAAATTCATTATCGAAAAAATTATCGAAAAATAAGTATAATTATATACAGTAATCAAATCAAACAAAAGCTTTTGTCAAGCACAAAATATTTGTGTTGTAATAGAGGGCATGTACAGTATAGGATTAAGAATGAGCAGGGATTTATACTTGATGTGATCCAATATAGGCACAAAAGACTGAACATACATACAGATTCAAACTTAAACCTTCCCTACATTTTATTGCATGTATCATGTACAACACGTGTGGCCTTAGTAACAGTTAGTGAAAAGAGTCTTGGTCATTTTGCTGTGTGATGCCTGTTTATTTACATTATTATTTTCCTCATACATTTTTTTGTTTGTTTGTCTTTTCTATGATTCAACCAGTCATTAAACCCTACGTCAGGTTGACACTCACTGAGGTCAAAGGCAGCAGTCATTCACACATGCTGGTCTGCAGCGTTTACAGCTTTTACCCCAGAGACATCACAGTGACATGGCTGCAGGACGGAGAGGTGGTGACAGATGACGTGACAACCACTGGCACTCTGTCCAACGGCAACTGGCTTTACCAGATTCACACCCATCTGGATTTTACGCCCAAGTTTGGACAGAAGTTCACCTGTAAGGTGGAACATGCCAGCTTCAAGAAACCCAGACTTTATGAGTGGAGTAAGACTTTTTAATTTTAATTTAATTTAATTTAATTTAATTTAATTTAATTTAATTTAATTTAATTTATTTTATTTTATTTTATTTTATTTATATTGTATGTTCAGTTATATGTTCAGTAAATATATATTATACATTTTCAATGCTGGAGGCCAAAAAAGTGTGGACTCCTTTACACTCAAGGAACTCTAAAATTGTGCTCTGAGAACGTTCAGAGAACTTCCTGTTATACAGACAAATGTGCGTTTGTGTTTTCAGATCCCATGTCTCAGTCCGACAGAGAAAAGATGGCTGTTGGGACAGCAGGGATGGCGCTGGGCTCTGTGTTTTTAGCTGTCGGAGTGATTTACTATCTGTGCAACAAGAATGGTAAAAAAAGAAAAGAAAAGTGTTTGTATTCAACAAAAAATACAAGTAAATTTTTAAAATTAGTTAAATTGGAATTTACATAACATCTAACACAGATGTCAGTTACGGATTTCAGAGATATTTAAACCATGTCTGAAAATAAAAAAGCTGTGATATTTAAGGTCATAAACTGACTTTCTCTTTTCTTGTTTTTTTTGTCCAGATCGTCAGTTGGTGCCAGGAGGTTAATAAACTATTGCCCGTCACCTGACATGAAACACTGACTACAGGAGCAGCTGCCATCCAAACATACAGGACTGAGGAGTGAAGCTGGGATGTGAAGTAAAAATCACAAAATTTAAATTTCTTACCTCTTAAAATCTCTAACGTTCTGTCACTGTACAGAGGTCTTTTTTTGGTTTTGTAACAATATTTTATTCTATAGGTTTTTAATAATGTGGTCACAATCTTAGAACACATATTAAATGCTAAATGTTGCACTATAAGTTAAGGAATTTTATATAAATTTAAAATAATAATGTTCTCTGTATGTATATTTGTATTGAACATTGAATATGTTGTATATATAAAACTGTATATTATTTTTACGATTAACTTGTGACACTTGTGGCGCAATAACGGTTGGGCTGTGATATTATTATGGCAGGATAATTACCTTTCCAGAAAATGCCGTAAACTGATGACCACATGGTCAGTGAATGTACTCATATATATTTTTATATAAGTTTCTTGAAAAGCAAAACACTTAGGTATTAGAGTTTAATTAAGTTTCTTGAAAAGCAAAACACTTAGTTTATTATAGTGTTTATTATATAGAACAACAATGCTTGTTTTTTTTCGGATTATACTGATTATTTTCAGTTACTTTTATCTTGACCAGCTTACGTCAGTTACAAACAAATTAATAAATCAACCATTCACAGATTATCTCCAGAAGAGGAAGTACAAACACAGCGTCGTTGTGTGGGACATACAGTAGATTTAACCGCATTCTATCTAACTTTATTCAATGATAATCAGTTATAACAAACTGCGTTTAAAAAGGGAAACAAAGAAAGTACAGTCTATCATAACGTCTCTCTGGAAATGACAGTTTTTTTTGTTTTTTTTTTAAAACAACTAAGTAGTTTTTATCTTTTTGGTATCATTTTTGAAATCCAAGCATTTTGGCCAGATGTAGACTACTGTACTAAAATGTCCTGGACTAAAAAGCTGAAATATTTCCTCTGTTTGTCTATCTACTGTACTAAAATGTCCCGGACTAAGCTGAAATATTTCCTCTGTTTGTCTACATGAATGAAACCATTTTGAATAGTAAATATGATTGGTGAATGTAGCATTTTTGAGCGTAAACTCTGTAATTACTGTATAGTTACTGTGAGTTTCTCGGAACTAGCAGTTTGTTATGGAATCATCTAGCTGTGCTGTAAATATTTACGAAGAATAATAAAGAGAGAGCCGTTAATTTTGTAAAGTTGTAATAAAATATTCTCCTGACCCACTTTTCACTCTCCTTCGTGTGTTTTACCCTCAGTCATGTCTTACAGACGGTCAGATTCTTAATCTAGCTAAATTAATACAAGTCATATCTGAATCGAGTCATTTTACAAACGAATGCAGACAAGTGTGTATCAGTGTGTTTTGTTTTTAGATATTTTGTCCTTGGGAGAGACCAAGAAAAGGACATATGCTGTGATTCACAGTTGTGTAAACGTTAACCAGGTCACGAGAGTCACCTGTAAATAATACACATTTTCATGTACATGTTTGTTCTTAATTCAAATTATTCAAAACAAATAAATTATTTTTGTCAAAAAATACATTTATACTCTGTTAGACAGTGTTTGAATTGGTTATAGAAATATAATTACTGTACGTGTGGTTAGAATACACAAGATTCGGTTCTCAAAAACAGAAAACCTGAAACTTGATTGAGACTGAAAAAAGTGATGTAATAAATCGAGGGAGAACTTTTTCACCTTTTCATAAACATATAGTTTATGTAAAAAGTATCTTCCCGTGTTCATTGTGCCGCTTTTATTGTTTGCTTTATTCTTTTATTGTAACAGCTTTTTGACGTCTATATATATTTTACAGGTTCTGTAAAACATTGCGTGTCCACTTTGCTGCCTGACAGACTTGACTCTGGGCTCAGTGTGTTGTGCGCATGCCTGATTTGCTAACATGAGCCGTTTTGGGTTCTATTTTATGTTTCTTTTCTTGCTGATTAAATGCCCCAGTTTGCTTCTCTTCTTGTGTTTTGCCGTTTACGTCTACATCCACTACAGAACACGTTAAAGGCGGGATCCACTCGGAGAGTGAGGGCAGACCGAAGGATCCACGGATCCACTGAGGCGGGAAGATGCCAGAGCAGCTTCATAACATGCTTTCCCTTCACAAACACGTCACGGTGACTGGACTCGTACTTGACCCCGCTGCCCTAGATGGCGTCAGACTGAAGTGATGGACTGTGCTGTTCCCAGCCCGGAGGTCGCCCCGTCCCGTCCGTCGTCTGCTACTACACCGGAGCAGAGGGACGCAGACACGGCGGTTACGTGACCCGTGTGGATAAGACGCGGGCGAACGGCGATAAGACAGCCTTAAAATGAGTGAGAGGATGACGGAAGACAGAGTGTCTTCATCAGCCACAGAGACGGAGCTCGGACCGCTGGTGAGTGTCACTCTTTTAGCCTCATTTACAAACAGCTAATCAATAATTTATTGGAGTTTTTGTCATTTCTCTTCAAATATCGCGTTCTTTTTTTGTTCCTTCAGGTCACTTCACTGTTTTATTTGGGATTTAATTCAGGGCTTGTTAAAACTTAAGCTAAAGAAGGTCGTATAGTAGTAGTAATAGTTAATCTCTGTTGTACTCCCACAGAAACGTTTTCTTCTGGGGTAGAAAAAGAAAAGTAGGATCTCGATAAAATAATATAATATATAATACTGTCATAAAATAAAATAATAAGGACAATTATTTGAATTTGAATGATAATAAGTAATACTATCAAAATCCATGGTATTATGTAAAATAAAATGTATGTATTATAAATTATTATTTATTTGTAACTGTAACATCGACATCCTTTGCAGCAGTTCCATAATATAATTTGATATTTATATTCCATATTTAAATCTTTTATACTCTACCTTTAAGTATCTATCTTTAAAATTTTTTGAGGAATAGTTTATTTAATTTAATTTAGTACCTTATTCATCCCACAATGGGAAAATGTATATGGTTGCAACTCAGGCTCCATTAGGGATATGTGGTTCCTCTGGGAATCGAACCCATGACTCTCTGTGTTTTGTTTGCTGTTGATAAAACACCAGCTCTCACCACATCACATATTGATGTTCATGTTTTTTTGTTTTCCGTCTCTCCACCAGTTCTCGTGTTACTGCGCCCGTGTCCACACTGCGTGCTCCAATGGGACTCTCTCTTTCAGCTTGGCTACACAGGAAGCCAGAGGTCAGCCGTCCTTCATCCTCATCAGCTTTTACTCCGCTGGCTGTCCCAACATCCTCTCGCCTCACTGTCGCACTGAACGCCTCGCCTGTTCCTCCGGAGGACAGTCGTTCTCACTGGAGTCCAGTCCACTGCTCTCCACACTTCCTGCTGTCTACCTGCAAGAAGAAAGTGACTCGCTTACCTGTTGAGTTGAGCAGCGATGGGGTGAGATCAGAAATGGGGGTGAACAGCGGGCTTCATATCTGGGAGTTGTTGTGGAGCCCTGACCAGAGAGGCAGTCATGCTGTCCTGGGTGTTTCCCTGCAGAACTGTCCTCTGCAGGCTGCGGGCTACACTGTTCTGGTAGGAGGAGACGCCCAGTCCTGGGGCTGGGAACTAAAGACTAATCAGCTCTGGCATGGTGGACATTCTCTCGGGAATTATCCTAAAACGTTCCAACGTTGTCGCTCTGAGGCTCCGGTGGAGTCCAAGCCTCAAACGTACACTTCAGACACGGAGCAGAGTGACGCGCCTCTTCCCATTCCTGAACGTGTCCTGCTGGTCCTGGATGCTGACGCAGGGACTCTGGGATTCGTTGTTGATGGCACTTTCCTGGGCTTCGCTTTCACAGACCTTCCTCATGGGGTGAAACTGTTCCCAGCTGTGAGCAGTGTAAGAGGAGGAGCCAGCATACAACTGCGCTACCTGAACGGTGCCACACGTGAGTGTGTTGTCATGAGTGTGAGAGTGTGAGATGCTCAGCTTGGCTTAAACTCTAACCCTAACACTTTTCCACTGTGTTTTTTTTTGTTTCATAGGTGACCCACCACCTCTGATGGCTTTATGCAGACTGTCAATTCATCAATTTCTGGGGCAGCACGGCCAGAGCAAAACCCACAAACTGCCTTTGCCCCCTTTGTTACAGAACTACCTGACATCTAGCTATTGATTTTTTTGTATTTTGTTGAATTTCTTTAGCATTATTTATTTCATTAGTTAAAGTGGTTGTTTGAAAACCTGCTTAATTAATCAGAGACATGTAATGCACTTTCTCTGTATAAACTTATTTAAATATTACTTTACTTGTCTTATGTTTAATTTATATTGTAACACTGATTTAATATCAACATTGAACGGTAAAAACATTTGAGATTTGATAGGCACTGGTTTTGCACAAAATGTTGTATTTGTAATATTTCATATGAATATTGCTATGGGTGAAATAAATCACTTCTGTTTACGTTTAAAACATTTTTTGAGTTTTTTTTATTCTATGTAAAAATATGAACTATTGCAAAAATAACGCACATGAAAACAGTTTTCTGGCATCGGTGGTGAACTGCAGCCTGTTCTCTCAGCAAAGGGGAAGGAAGAGAAGAAAGAGGAAACAAATTTTGTTATTTAACTGTTCCCACTACACCGGAACTACAGTCAATCACGCTGCACCACAGTCATTTCTGTAAAACCATTTTTTCCAACTGACTAACTGTGCAGAAAGGGACAAAGGTAATAACAATAACTGTGATTTATTATTTTAGAAAGTTCTCTCCTGGTTCTAAGTTTAGTCACATCCACCTTGCATATACTATTCTCCAAATTTAAAGGTAAATACAGTAGTTACAGAAAACAATGTGCACTGTTGCACACTAGAGGGAGCTCTGTCTTTGTCAATACCTGTCCAGCGGTCATTAGCCACATTCCAGTATTCCAATCGCATACGGTTTAGTAGGTTAACGCGAAAAGGTAAAACTTTAAAGTATATTACATACCACGTTTTCCTACTGCTTATTTAGGTCTCTTGTTAGTTATATTTAAAGCAAAACACGTCCTAAAAAGTTTGAAATTAAAGTTAAAGTAAAAATCGGTTTTACCGTAAACATCCAATCAGACATGTAAGTAAATTGCTTTCTTTACTGGTTTGACGCCAATTATCTTTTATATCGGTTGTAAACTAAATTAAACATGAATATGGTGTTAATTATAGCTCAATGAATCGGGTAGATATAAATAAAGTAACTAAAATTAGATAAAGAAAGTGCAATCACGCTATTTTTGTAAAATTGGACTAGCTAGCTAACGTCAGTCAGGTTGAATAAACCCAGCTACTTTGGGCGATAGCATTATTTATAAAAACAAATATATAATTGAGAGAAAAAGAAACAATTAATTGAACGCAAGCGATTGACTTTTTGTGTGTTTTTTTTATCTGTATAGTATAATTAAGTTCCACTCTTTCGTTCGTATTATATAATGGCTACGGCCATTAAATAATATGGCGATCCTTTTTAGGACATTAATTAATCGCGCGAATTATTATTTTTAGATGTGCCACATTTACATGTAGTTTTAGTTGTAATAATTCGCCTTTATTTACGATATAACGTTTAAATAATGCAACATTTAAAGTTTAATAATAACAGGGTTCTATATAAAAAAGTAGGCTTTAAAAACGTTAACATTTTATTAAATCAGGTGAAGGCAGGAGCAGCTGGTGATTTACCACAATTGTCTATTTTACCTTAAATTAGGATCAGGTGGTCTGCAGCCCCAGCAGTCAAGCCCTGTCAAGCCCCCAGTGTGTGTGTTTACTTTTTAACCTTTTGGCATCCATGATTTCATGTCATTGAAACAAGTACTGTGACATCTGTGACTTTATTTTTAATTTGACATGTCCTTTAAAGCCTTGGTACCGGAGGTCATGGCATTAGCAGAGAGTCGTGGAGGTCAAGGTGGAGAAACAAACCCTGGACGCTTGATCATAAATGGAGATGAAGATGATGAAGTTACATCTGAGGTAAACTCATTTACTACAATCAACATTGTAATGTTGAGTTATTCCTGCAGGTAGATGCATATACTGTATGTTTTTATTTTTTATTTTTTTGTATTTTAGATTTTGCTCAGTGTTTTGGTGCAGCAAGGCCAGCTTGGTCTCTGCTTCTACAACAGTGAGAACTGCACTTTACACTACATGACAGACACGTCTGATAGCCGTGAGCTCCACCTTCTGGACAGAGGTGGACACTTGACTTAATTTTTTTCATGATCATGTTGGTAGAATGACGCTGTTGTTTTCAACAGCTGGTGATAATCTCTCTTCTCCAGTAATTAAGGAGGTCAGTCCCCATGTTATCATCACCAGTGCCAAGCAGGAGCGATGCATGACCCACTTTTTGCAGCAGTTGGGTAAGGTTTGGCATCTTTCCACTCATAACTTACATGAGTGGAAGCAGACACACATCAGAGAACTTTGTTTTTCTGTTGTTTTTTTTAAAGATAGTACAACTTGTTACTGGGCCAAGGCCATTGAATTAGATAAGAAATACTTGAGACTACAGAAATCTAGTTCTGATAAGGTAGAAGAGATTAACTTACAGTACATGCAGCGTTACAAGAACACAGTCTACGTGGACATTTTAATGATAGATAACTGAAAACATCTCATTTATATTCCAGGATCAAACCCAGACTACAGGCCAGAGGTTGTTACTTATCCAAATGTGGACTTTGGTAAAAAAACAAAAACATCCTAACTGTCAAAATATTCTAATTTAACCAGAGAGTAAAACTTTTTAAATTGTAATTTATGTTCTAAAATGATACGATTCGATTTTAAATTCAGGTCTGGAGGTCAGTAAGCAGAGGCTGCTCGCCGCCCACCTACCCTTTCTCCCTGCTACCATTTCTGAAAAAGACAAAATGTCCTACCTCTCCTCCTGCTTGTCCTTCAACTCCCCTCTGATGGTGAGCCAGCAGTTCACAAAAAACTCTTAACTATTGTTTACGTTAATCCATCCTATTTCTACTACTAATATAATGCAGTCTGATGTTGATCACTTGTGTGCGTTGGTGTGTGTGTGTGTGTGCGCATTTCGTACACAGCTGAGGACAGTGGGTGCTTTGCTAAAATGTTTGGACAGGAGGAGAGTGGGAGTAGAACTGGAAGACAGCGGTGTTAGAGTTCCTATCCTCCAGCTCAACGCCTACACACTGTACGACACGTACTGTACATCAAGCAATAAACACACACGCACGCACACGCAAACCAACAACTGTGATTACACATTTTCTATAATGAGAACAGTGAAAAGTCTTTTTCAATGAATTTGTTGGGGGTTTTTTTTCTTCATTTGTAAACCACTAAAATCTCAATGTCTTCCCTCCAGGAGAGGTGTCGTCTATGTTGATCGAGATACATACAGGTAAGAATATACTATGACATATATTTATATATTGGTGGTGTAAGAAAAAATCGATACACTGAAATATCACAATATTTCGTTCACGATATTGTACAGATATTCTACAGCACGGTATCGATTTTTCCAAATATTTATGGGATTGGTTCATTTTTGTGTTGCATTTAAAACTCCGACCTCTAGTCGATTCTGCAAGTATTTTAGACTTGCAAATAAATTGTTTAAAAAAAAAACCCTCAATATATCACGATATATTGTACTGTTGACACTCCCCAATACATATATAAATGTGTATATATATATTGCATTTTATTTTACTATTGACACACCCCTATATATATATATATTTTTAAGTATAAGATTTCTCACCTCATATGATTCTTTAAAAACACAGTAATTTCTTAGATCTAACTGGTTCGTTTGTCTTCGGTTACATTGTTTCAAGTGTATTACAGATCTTCAAGTCTGAACTCCACCCGTCGGTGTATAAGCTGCACTCAGGAGAAAAGGAAGGACTGAGCCTTTATGGTTTGCAGCGCAGCTCTTCATGTCACTTCTCCTGCCAAATGTATTTGTGTGACCAGTGATGACGTTTCCCTGACGTTCACTGCAGGTATACTCAACCGCTGCAGGTGCAAATTTGGCTCCAGAAAGCTACGGTGAGAACCCCCCCACCCTGATTTCAGTCCAACTACATCAGTTCTTAAGTTCCCCTGTGAAGCTACAAAGTGATGTTCTTGTTTTCCTTCCCAGTCAGTGGTTTCTGCGGCCGACTCAGGACCTGGCAGTGCTGCGGAGGAGACAGGAAGTGATCAGCTTCTTCACGTGTCCTCAGAACTCGGATGTCCAGAGCACCCTGCAGTCCTCGCTACGCAACATCAGAAACATCCCAGTAACACCAATAAGCTCTTGTTATCAGTTTCCATGAGCCTCTCATCTAATGTGTTTACTCGCATCATTTCAAGACCGTGTGTGTGGGTGACAGAGTGGGAGAAAGTGAGAGGGAGAGGAGTGACTCGGGGGGTACGTGGGAATATCTGACTAGTTCAGACCATTCCCATGGGACATACAGTTATTTTTGGTGGTCATTAAGGGTATTTTCACTACATTAATAGAATCACTGGTAAAAATGATAACAATGATAACTCACTGGTATCATCTGATCCCAGTCTTTACTATTTTAAACATTGTTTATTTGTGAATACAAAACAAGATATGTTATCATAGTAATGTTATATGTAAGCAATGTAATATAAATGCATCAGTACAATTTAATTTAAAGTCAGCTCCAGTGACAGCAGATATTTTCATTTGTTCATTATGTTATTTTAAAGAACATGGTTCCAGATTGCCAAACAATATTTTTTATTATGTCCAGAACCAGCTCGGCTCCAGCACGCAGGAAAGCCACTGATCGGAACAACACTGTAGATTAAAATGAAATATGATTTCATATGTTTGTGTGTGTTTGGCAGACTCTTCTCCACCGGATGTCACTGTCTCACACCAAAGTGACCGACTGGCAGAGTCTGTACAAGGTTTGGTTAAATGTATCACCTGTGAACACTGCGTCAATGTCACAGCTTGTTTAGCAAATGTTGATTTTACATTTGTTTGTCAGACTGTATACAGTGCAGTGTGTATCCGGGACACGGTGCGACACCTGCCTCAGTCCATTCAGCTCTTTCATGAGATCAGTCAGGGCTTCTCTGAAGACCTACATCAGATCGCCTCCATCATCAGCAGAGTTGTCAGTTTGTTATTTTCTAATTAACCTTCTTTTATAATTAATACAGCTCGTTGTTTGACCAAGTCATGAGTTTTAGTTTCTCTATAATTTGTGTCACGCAGGTGGATTTTGAAACCAGCCTCGCCGAGAACCGTTTCACCATCAAACCAAACGTGGACCCTGCAATAGACGAGAGTAGGTTCAATAAGATAAAGCAAAGTGATTCCATCGGTTTGACTAGTTGTACATAGTAAATACTGCTTTAACTCTCTCTCTCTCACTGCCTCAGAGAAGAGGAGGATGATGGGATTGTCCGATTTCCTCACCGAGATTGCCAGGAAAGAGCTGGAATATCTCGATGCTCGCGTCCCATCCTGCTGTGTTATTTACATCCCTCTGGTCTAATCCTCTCTTCTTACTGCACCTTGTTTATATATAAAGTTCGAAAATTTACATTTATATATTTTTTTTATTTATTGTTTGGCTTTTGTCCTAACTGCTGCACATGTCCTTAAATTCATACAACCATCGTCAGTCGTCATTTGCTTTTGTTTAACAGATTGGATTCCTGCTCTCCATTCCACGTCTGCCCAGTATGGTAGAGAGAGAGGACTTTGATATGTCAGGGCTTGATTTCATGGTTAGCCTGGGATTTAGTGCTATTTTTGTTTTTCCTCTTGATTTTTCTTTTTTATTTTACCTCTATTATCTGTGCTTATGGCTGTGTGTTTTGCTAGTTTCTTTCAGAGGACCGTCTGCACTACCGCAGCCAGAGAACCAAAGAGCTGGACAACCTGTTAGGAGACCTCCACTGTGACATTAGAGGTACTTCATACTTTCTACACCTGGGAACATCTGATAGTTTTACAGCCCACTTTATTCAATTCCTCAGATTTCCACCTTAATGCTTGTGAAATCCTGCCACACTCTCCCCTCTGTCTCCTGTTTCCCCTCTTCCTCACTCAGACATGGAGACAGCAGTGATGACCCAGCTGCAAAACACAATCCTGGAGAGGAGTGGCTCCCTCTATAAGGCTGGTCTCAACATGACAGGACTTAGACTTTGACCAAATACCTGTTTATGTGAAACTGCTTAAATGTGCTGCTGGATTTTAATGTCAAAAATGAAAATAACAGATATCAAATATTAATTTGACTAACAATAATACTGCCTTATGAAATTGAAAATCCCAGATATCAAATAATAATTTGACTAACAATAATACTGCCTTATATAATTCTACTGCTTTGTGTGTTTTTATATTGTACTGTATTGACTTTGATATTGTTATTGATAAATGGAGATAAATAAGGGAATTTACTTTTTAATTTCAGTGTTAAGGAATAACACTGTAGTTGAAAAAATCCTCAGTTATACACTTTAAACTACAGTGAAATGTCATGTTGTATTTCACATGAAAATACTAAACAAAAACAAACAGTCAATACACAAGAAATTTCAGATGAAAACAGTATACAAAAACAAACAGTCAATACACAAGAAATCTTTAGATTTAAATATCATTAAAATGTACCTCATGACACACATATGGACACATTGGACTCCAAGTTAGCCTGTAAGCTAAAGCTAAAGTTAAGTCTGGTCTAATTTTTTTGTCTGGTCTAGGTCCTGGACCTGGCTGCTGAGCTGGACTGTCTTATGGCTATGAGCAGTGCCTCTCAGGAGTACGGCTACACATCACCCAAGTTCATCAGCCTCAGGAAGATAGCGGTCACTCAGGGCAGGTAGGCAAATGCAAAAAGTAAACAGTGGCTGTCGTTTACATCTCTAAAGGTAAATCTTCACCTTATAGACATCCACTGTTGGAGCTGTGCTCTCCAGTCTTTGTGCCCAACTCCTTCCTGAGCTCAGAGTCCCAGGGCCGCGTCAAGATCATCACTGGACCAAACTCATCAGGGAAGAGCATCTACCTCAAACAAGTATGAACTAGAGCTGGGCAACAGCATTTAGCTTACAAACACAGACAGATCGTGGTGAATTGCTGGCATCAATTAAATGTATTGCAATTTAGTGATATATCAGACTTGAAGTAGTTGGTGATAATAGAACAATTTTAGTGGTTACAAATAACGTTGGTTTTGTTAACTCTCTGCTTTCTGGACTAAATTAAAAATGATAGTTTGTAAGAGTTCAGGACCTTTCTCTATTTTCTTTTGTCTCTGTTCTGAGGTCTTTTCTGCTCCGGTTCTAGTGAGAGTTGCAGCAGATCAAAAATAATAAAAGAAAGAAATAGTTTGTATTAAGTAATAAATGTGTTTAAAAAAATCACAAGCTCCTTCACTCACACCAACCTCAGTAAGAATGTTTTTATGTAAGTGACAGCTGCAGTATTTGGGTCAAACTTAGCAGAAATAGTTTGTGAGTTTTGTGTCTGTGACGATGTCTTTGTTTTGTAGTGTTGATCTTAAATTGGTCAACGGTTCTTTTTCTGACCTGGACAGGTGGGTCTGATTGTGTTCATGGCTCTGATTGGTTCAGATGTGCCAGCAAAGGAGGCTGAGATTGGTCTGGTGGACGCCATCTTCACACGCATGCAGAGCAGAGAGTCTGTGTCTGTGGGTCTCAGCACCTTCATGATCGACCTCAACCAGGTGCACACACACACACACACACACACACACAGACACATTTGATTGGTTTCTATCACAGGCACTACTTTACTCTTTGTGTCTCTGTCCTCCAGATGGCCCAGGCTCTCAACAACAGCACTGGCAACTCATTAGTTCTCATCGATGAATTTGGAAAAGGAACTAACACAGTAAGATAAATTTGTTCCAGAACCGTGTGAGTAAAAAAAACACGTGTTTGCACATAACAGGGACGACAGTCAGTGGTATGAATGTGAGGCAATTAAAACCAGACGTTAACCAATTTAAAACTGCACCATGAACAGAGCAGCAGGAGCCAATCATCAGCAGTAAAGTTAAAACAGCTGTTTGGACTCAAAGGAACATACGCCTCCTACAGGCTATTAAGCGCATATGTATTTCTTAGTATTTTATATTTTTCTCCTTATGGTGGACCTTTATTAGATTTTCTTTACATCTGTGACAGAATGAAATGCCGTTTTGACCATATTTTAAACATATTTAGAATATATATATAACTTAAATAATATTAAACTTTATAATGTCAAAGAGAGGTACAGATAAAAGCTCTATAAGAATATTTAATTGCAGTAATTTTTTGCCAGGTTTTTGAAATAATGACTAGAGAATTGGTGAATGAAGAATGCTGGGTGAAATAATTTAAATATAATGTATAGGAATAAACCTTAACTTTCAAAAATAATTTAGTGACATCAACAGAAATCTGTTCAGCAGTCGATTTGTAGTAATGCAGGCTTGACATCAGTCTTTACCAAACCTTCAAACAGTTATTTATGAGCCGGATTAGGAAGCCCAGCTGGCCGTATCAGGCCCACGGGCCAGAGTTTGCCATGGTGTGATCTGTTGAATACCATTGTCGTCTTGCTTGATTTAAAAAAAAAAATGCTAATTACATTATTGTGGCAAATGTGACCCTGATGTGGAGAACAAACTCCTCCACATTACACTCAATGTTGTTGTTTTTTTCAGTTTTATACCAGTCAGTCAGAGAGAGAAAATTAAATCTTATACCAGTCAGTCAGAGAGAGAAAATATTTTATTAACCTCCAATTGTCGACATTTGTCAGCCGCTCACTGTCAGCTTATATAGTGTGAAAAGAACTGACTGAAGATATGATGAGAAGATATTTTTTTTGAGACACTGCGATGAAATGTTCCTCTCTCAGGTGGACGGACTGTCTTTGCTGGCTGCATCGATTTCTCACTGGCTGAGAAAGTCTCCGGTGGACGTCCCCCACATCCTGTTGGCCACCAACTTCCACAGTTTGCTGCAGATGGACCTGCTCCCCTCCTCTGACCTGCTGTCTCTGCTAGTACTCAAACACAGATCACTCTTCTCAGTGTTTATGTACAGTTTTACCAATGTTTTCAGATCATTTTCAAATGATTGGCAAAAAAATAATAACACATACCTGAAGATATCTTGATAATTAGTTTGACATCAGTCGTAGTTTATTTCCTGTTTTTGAGATAAGTGGGTTTTTTTTTTGTGTCAGACTCTGGAGACAGTGGTGGACGGAGACGAGTTAGTGTTTCTGTATCAACTGAAAGAAGGAATCTGTCACTCCAGTTATGCTGCCAACATCGCCACACTGGCAGGTCTACCAGTTGGTGTTGTGAAGAGAGGAGTGGAGGTAAACACACACACACACACACACACACACACACACACATAAAGGAGCATCTAAACATACAAGGACTTTATACTGGTGTCTATGGTCAGGTGTCAGAACTGTACAGGACAGGAAGAGTCATCAAGCCTTTGGACAAAGTGTCATCAGACGAGCAGGCGAACAGGTTTGTTTATTTTCTCTAAATACATTTAAAAAAACGACGTTATCTGAGAAGCAGACTCGTGAACTAGAGTGTATGTCTCCAACACAGGTGCAGGTCTGTGGTGGAAAAGTTTCTAAACCTGGATTTGGAGGACAAAGCGGTGGACTTGCACCACTTCATGAAAAAGGAGCTTCTGCCCTCTGGTGGAGACCTGATGAACCGCACCTGAAGCGTGGCGCTGCTCTGTGGTCAGTGTGTTTCTTCTTGTTTTGTTTTTTTTTTTTCACTGGTCAGCTGGTTATTGGGAGCTGAGTGTGTTAGATGTTCGAGGGAAGTTTAACATGAACAGGACACCACAAATGTAGAGAAACCACAAATGTCCTCCATCTTTTTATTTTCTCTTGTAGATGATGTTCTCACAAAAATAGCCAAACGTAACCAACCAACAAAATAACCAATAAACCACTCACATCTGGGCCGTGACTAGATAATGATTTTGTCCTTGTGGCATTTTATAAACTCATATTTATTAGATTTCTTCAGTTGGTTAAAACTGAGATAATATTTGTACCAGATGTTTGCGCCATAGTATCAAATCACAGCAAAACAGTGACACCTTTTTAGGTTTGCTCAACAGTGAATTTATTGGTGATTTATATGAAAGCTCCAGTGACGTACAGCGTCAAAAGCAGAGCCAAGGCAACGTGTAGGAGAGTAAAGAGGTGTTGGCGAGCTGAGTTACAGAACGGTGTGTCACAGCAGTGTTTGGTCATGACAAAGATGGTGTTGTTTGGTAAGACTGCCACTGTGGTCTCCACTCCGCACTCCTCCGCTTTTGCACAGCCCAAAGTCTTCACATCTAGGACGTCAGCTACAGAGAAAGGAGAGTATGCTCTGTGTCAGCGCCACCTAATGAAAAAACCTTGACCTTATTGATCGCTAAGCTAAAAAATGTCCTGCTGCTGTCCAAATGTTCTCAGGTTAGGTTAGGTTCGTTTCTTTTTGACAAATGTTCTCAGGTTAGGTTAGGTTTGTTTTTTCTTGTTTTGTTTTTTGGTTTCTCCAGTAAACATTAAAATAGTTGACTAAATGACAGTGGCATCAGTGTCTGACACACCTGCCTTCCCTCGGCCCGTGTAGCAGCGCTCTCCTCGGCTGCACTTGGTTTCCGTGGTGTAGCAGGCGTCCCAGAAGCCGAGGTCACAGCGAAAACACTTCAGCAGCTCCATCTCTGCTTCATACTTGGCTGAGTCTACAAGGAGCTCTGATTGTTCTCTCTCTGAAGATGAAAACACAGAAACAGCATCCTGCTTTAAAAATATAAGTATTTGAACACAAGCAACTATTCACACCCGTAGTTATTAAAATTAATGTTTTTATGATCCCGGAAGAAAACATAGTTCCTAGCTTATAATTAGTTAGTTTTTGTAATACAGAAAAAATGGTGAAGTAAATATCAAATGAAAGACTAATGGTTAAAATGCTTTGGTTTGCTCAGATTATGCAATCATTGGTTGGACACATTAAAATTCAGAGGCTGAACATGCTGAACATGTGAGATGCTGTTGAAGGGCTTCCAGCCAAACGGATGAGCCACATTCTGCCGGGCGCTCCACTTCCTGGAGATAATTTGTCTCATCTGTAGCTGAGTAGAAAATAAATCTTTGATCAGTGGTTTCTGTTAACAGGAAAATATTTAAGCTTTTCCATTGTGTTATATTATCCAAACAGAAACAGGCAGGAATTCGTAGAAGGTACTGGCAGTGGAGGACCGCTGTTTTCAATTTCACTTAATTGTTTAAGAAACTATTATTTATTTAGGACAAATTATTTATTTCCATTCTATATGCAACAGTTACAGGTAGAGCAGTTAAACTAGTTGGCAACTGATGGATATAAACACAAAAAAACAAGAGCGACTCAGCGTTGCTGAAGATCTTGTTGTGCTTCTTTTTTCAATTCCTGCGAGTATATCTATATAGATATACTCTTTATATATTTATATATATTTTTTCAAATACTTCAACATTTTTGTAATGTGGTGCACAATATGATTTTTCTAATGTATAACCAAAAAGGCTGGTAAACACTGGAATAGAGTTCCCCAGAAATGACACACGATATCCAAGCAGCTAAAAGCTAAAATAGCTGAATACAATTTATAACCCTGTAACATTACAGTCATGTGATGTGTAAAAATAACAAAGCTTTTAAGTAGTGCATGGACCAAACTGGGGTTAAATTAAGTGCATCAGTGTAGGAGTGAAAAAAACATTGAGGGAAAAAAAAGCAGAACGCTGTCAGAAAACATCAAGCCAACGAAAAGCCGTGCGTTCAGCTGAGTTGTAGTGTGTTGCTGGGAGGAGAAGTAATCTCCTCATCATGATCGTAAGATGTTTTTCACTCTGTCTCCTAATCCTTATCTCCTCCAATCTTGTTAGCTGGTGCTAGCTAAGATGAACAAAAAGACAAAAGAGAAGTAAAGTACAGCTCACTGAGGCACATCAGGCTTAAGGCATCGTGAGCGAACGCTAAACAAGTCTCATTAAGATGTATGGACGTATGAGGGGTCAGACTGAGGCTAAAAGAAACAGACACAGTGTGTGGTAATGGTGCCGTGCTGAGTGCACCGGCTGACTGTTGGATTTGAACCTTAACCACCAGGGCCTCCACTGCCCAGAACAGTGAAAATGTTTGAAAAAAACAGTTGATGCTCCCAGAGAAATGACAGTTATAAGTAATTCATGATTAATGATGTATCGTCACATTTTTTAAATTAGAAATTCTGCCTTTTTTTTTGATTGTTTAATGTTAATCAACCTTGGATCACAGACCACCACCCAGAGCACCATCTACTGACGGGGTCAAGGCTGAAGCACCAACAAATGCTAGAACTGACTTAAGTGGTTCAGATAAAAGTTCTACTTAATAGAAAAAACAAACACTAAATAAATCGCTTTGATACATTTGCTGCTCAGTTTCAAAAGAATGTCTGTCAGAACAAGAACTGAGCGACAAACGTGTTTGCAAAAAGTAATATTTTGATAGTTAGGTGTAGTACTTTGACTACTGTCCTCCTACTACGTACTACCTCTGCTTACCTTCAGCCAGTGTGAGCATTATCAAAGAAATAAAAACCCAGAATAGTTGTTGAGCCATGTTGAGCACGACCTGGACTCCACCACCACCAGGACTGCGGAAGACACTGGAAGTGGGACTGAAATTGGATTAGTCAGTAATACGCCTGCTGCTGAGAGGCTGCAGACAGACGAACCGCAACACGAGTTTAGCAGAAAAGGAGGAAAAGTTTGTCGTCGGAGTTGGGAGCTCAGTGACTGTGTCTGGGCTTCAGGCTGCAGCCACAGGATGTTACTGATGTTACAGGGAACATTTTACCATCGCTCTACCCATGAAGACTGAGCTCCATCCTCTTCACTGCTGCAGCCTGGAGAATCTCCAGTCACTTTCATCCTTTTTTCCACCAAAATGGTTGAGCTCAGCTCCTTTGGCTTTGAACAAACAAAAGGAACTGCAAGTGTGAGTCACTGCAGGGTTAAGAAGCTTACATCTTACACTCTGGCTTCTCAGATATGTATTGGAGAACACATACACACACACTCATACACACATAAAGGCAGGTTTTAAAAAACAGTCAGATTCTCTCTCTGCTGCAGCAGCTACAAATGTATATATGTATATGCAGTCAGACTCTCTCTCTGCTGCAGCAGCTATAAATGTATAAATATGTATATATATATAATACACATATATTATATATATATATATATATTTTATGTGGTTTGACTAAATGTAGTCATGTCTGCACTGATCTGTGAAAATGATTTTCCCTTTGGGACAAATTATACTAACACTATAACTGTACTAACACACACACACACACACACTACTCTCAGAGGAAACATTAGGATCACTTTTACATTCTCATCGTTGCACAAAGTGTGTTTCCAAACTACTGTATACAGCGCTGATATACACACGTCTATTGAAGTATTCCTGTATTCCTTTCTGTTGCTGCAGTGATTCGTGCTGCTGCGTTAAATCCATTTCCAGAGAGTTTTTTTTTTTTTTAGTAGATGAAGTAGCTGCAAATACCTGCAAACGTCCAGTGTTCAGTTGCTCTCTCTCCAATGATCACCTCCTGAGGTCACACAGTGGACCTGTAACTGCAGCCTAATGACCGCTGTGTGTTTGTTTCTCATAGTGGGGCTCAGTGTTCATCAACCTTTTAGAAAAAAAGACCATTTCTGTTCAATCTCTGCTCAGTGGGTTATTTTTAGTTGTTTTTTTTGGTGCATCGATGTGTTCTGTGTTTTTATTTTTTATTTTTTGAAGATTGCTGTTCGTAAACCAGAAACTGTTTAGGGTTTCAGGCTCTTTTGGAAACACACTGCAGTACTTTCAGTATTTCAGTTTGGCCTTAAAAAGGTTGGAAGCTACCTAAAAGTGCTCAGACGGTCATACGGTGGAGCAGTGGTTAATGCTTTTGTACATGGGTTTCGTACCGCAGAGCAAAATCATGCAGTACAACGTTAATTGGTGTGAATGCGAGTGTGGATTGTTGTTTGTCTGTACATGCAGCGTTGTGGTGTTTGGCCAACTGTTCAGCGTGAACTCTCCTCTCATCCAGTGAGCACTGGGAATGACTTCAGCGCCCCCTTCAGCTAGTTTTAAACATTAACATGGTCTACTACGGACAGTCATCAAATAATGACAAGATCCTGGAAACTTAGAGGAAAAAAACAACTCAAATCTGATGAACAGAATCTTGAACAGTACCAGTCCTGTCTCCTCCGTCCGTCCCTCCTGTCTTATTGTCTTCACCTGGTCTCCTGTGGTTCCCTCCCCTGTGATGACCTGATGTGCTCCACCTGTGTCCTTCCCTCTGGTGTGTGTATAAATACACACCTGACTCTCTCTCCTCTGTTTCATCAGTTGAACCAGTCGTTTTCTTTTTTCACTTTTATGTCAGCCTCTGTGGTTGTTTGTGCTGTATTTAGGTCCAGACTCTCACTGTGAAACACTGATGAACAAAAACATCCAGACCTGATGCTGCAAAAACTTTTGGTTTAACTGCTGGAACGAAGGGAAGAGAAAAGGCTGGAGAAAAAACAAAACAAAAAAAAAAACCAAACCAAATCTCATTTATCTTCCACCGCTCATTTCTTTTTAAGGGCCCCCGGGGACTGGAGTTAATCTGGAGTTAATCTCAGCGCTCGTCAGACAAAGACAGGAACAGTCCACCTGTTAACTGCAGGGCCCTCGCTCTGATATTTACAGGAAATGTTTGCTTTAAATCACAATCAGTACGTCAGGGGGACGAGAGGAGAAATCAACCTTCGTCCATGCTCTGGGTTCTTCACCAGCAGAACTCGGTCCATTTGTTGGAGTGTTTGCAGCTGCGTACTACGAAGCATGAAACTGCTGGAAATCATAGGGGCAGTGTTGTGCTGTGTACCTACCATGTGACCGTACCATAAAAAGAAAGAAAGAAAAGACGACTTTAAAACAACAACAGAAGTTGTGGAAGAATGAAGAAAAAGTCTTTGTCTAACGTCGCACTATTAAATATCTATAACTGACTCCTGGTTTCTAAGCAGAAACACGTCGACCTCCACCATTGACCTGTCTGTAAATAGACCTTGAAATAATAGTGGACTCAGGACTGCCCCTAGTGGAAACCATAATATTTGGAGGATAAATGATGGCTAAGAGTAGTTACTGTGTGTGTGTGTGTGTGTGTGTGTGTGTGTGACTGACAGCGTAGGCAACTGTCAAACAGTAACTGAGTTCTAACACATGTCAAAAATTCTGCTCATCAAATTGTGTGTTTGAACGAGTTCAAAGTTTGTTTTTTCTCCCACATTTCCGACATCCACTCTGTGGTTTTAATCATACATCTGAGGGCGTCTTACTGTGCCCGCGGAAAAAACCCTCCACTGACAGTGTGTGTGTGTGTGTGTGTGTGAGAGAGAGACCGATAGTGTTGGATGTTTTCACTGAGTAAAAAGTGGAGCTGAGAATGGTTACTACACGTCGGTCTCTGTCGTCATCTGGGCAGCAGGATCCCAGCATGAGCCCCAACAACAAGGAAATACCCGGCGCTCCTGAAGCACCTATAAAAGCCTTCAGACTGATCCCTGCTGTAATTAGAGGCTGCAGGAGAAAATCCTGCTGATAATTAAAACCCCCAGATCTCCCCCGTCGTCGTACCTCTCAGATTGCTCAAACCTGCGCACTTTGGTTTAATTGTACTTAATACGATTTAGCTGTGCCCGTGTGTCTGGTTCTGTTTTCTCTGACTTTCAAAAGCAAAGGCCTGAGAGGGAGGATGGAGAAGTGGAATAAAGCGTAGGAATGTGATGATGATAAGTGAGAAGATGAAAGGTCGGGATGGTGGGAGAGAGTAGAGCTGCTCATGAAGATTTCTTTTTTTTTTTTTTTTTCCTCGCCAGAGTCTAGAGACGAGAGAAAATTGAGCAGCTGTCAGTGTGAATAATAAAATAAAAAAACATTTGAATTACTGAAGAAGTTGTGACTTCAGTTCACTTGTGTAGAAAGCACCAGCTGGTATTTTTAGTGAGGCTGTAGGTGTGGAGTGAGAGGAGTGTGGCTTCTCCTGTTTGTACCTAGAAACAATTTCCTGAGATAAAGAGCAGATTACAGCATGTGTGAGATTAGATAAAGACTCGTTTAAGGCCTAATCTGTCTCATCCTCTTAAGTCAGCCTCTTCACAGAAGAAACGTTCCTCTGTTTGAGTGTGTGTGTGTGTGTGTGTGTTTGACAGACAAAGAGTGAAAGCCACAGCTGAGTATATGGCACCCTAAATACTCTCCTCATGTCCAAATATGGTCAAAGAAGCAGCGTCTTTAAAGTTTTTTGGGTACATTCTAATCAAAGACAAACAAACAGCGTGGCTCGTTCAGACTTTTGGACGATTAGGAGGAGTCTTTCACTGTAGAAAAATCCAAAATGTCACAAAAAGTATACGTAACATATATATATATACAGTATATTATGATCAATTTACTTACTGTCCTGTTTAGTTGAACATCACACTAATATACTCAAAGGAATTGAAGAAAAACAAAACAATAAGATCTCCTTCAACAGCTCTTAGCCTCTCACATATTATTTTCACATCTGCTGCCACCTAGTGGAAGAGTATTTGACTGAGCTGCCTGTCATTGTCGCATCAACATACAAATAAAACGTACAAATAAAACAGTAGTAAAACTGGATACTTTTCCACGGCCGTCTGATGACCTCTCACGGTGCACTCCACTTTTCTTTCTCTCGTGGTATTCAACACCTGTTGTGTAATTGGTCAGAAATCGTAGTGGGCGTGGTTCACTGGCCACCTACATTATTTTATCTCTTGTGAATTCTACCATCAAACCTTCCTCCTCCACTGCTCCAAACCTGATTCCTCCTCTTCCTTCACCACCGCTAACACCGCTGTCGTCCGCTGCCTCACTGTGCTGTCACTGTTTCATTGTTTCTGTCAAATCCCCAAGACGTTTGGCACATTTAACAAGCTTCTCAGAAGCTCGATTCCAGAAGTTCTCAACAGACGAATCTGTTCTTGTTCTTGAGAAATTGGAGCAAAATTCTAGCTTCTAACATTCCTGTGACCTCTTTTTTGTTGTAAATTTCTGAAAAAAAAGAAGACCAATAACAGCAGGTAGATGTCAGTGTTTCACACCTGTTTTTATTTGTGACTAATCCAAATGATGGACTTACTAATATGGAAATATGTCAAGAAAAATGTGCAAAATTATTACTAAAAATGTATCTTCGTTGTTCGGAGTTGGTGGATGCTCGTCGTCACTGTGTCTGTTGACGGTGGTTTGTAGGAAGAGTCGAGAGTTGGTTTGAAAACGTCAGTGAAGACGTTGTTCTGAACAGTATTATTCTTGTGTCAGTCATAGACTTACTGACTGTCCTTGTTGTTCTGAATCATATTATTCTTGTGTCAGTCACAGACTTACTGACTGTCCTGACCTCAGTGAGGCCGATCGGACACAAGTCGGGTGTCTGACCTGAGGTTGACCCCTCCATCAACACTTGTTGGGAGTTGAGACGGTATTTTGCGCTTGAGTTTGTCCAGTGAAATAAAAACTCTTCCTCACAGTGTGTGTATAAATGACCATGTGTATCAACTGCGTGTTATAGCGCTGACTAGTGGATGGACAGTGAAGTGATCTACAGTGCACAGCTGTTGAAATGTGTCATGTTCCACGTGAATTACTTCAGGTGACACTCAGTCGTCGTAGTTTGTGAAAAGATTAAGTGATTCAAGAGAGTTTTTTTTTTTCTTCAACCTGTTCCGTGTTGTGGCGACAGAATGTTGTGTCTATGGTTGAGGCGGCGGCGGAGGGTCTGTCCGTATGTTGAAGTGGACCTCGCTGGAGTTAAAAGTGTCTGAGTAAATGGAGGAGTTAGAGACGGAGAGGCCGGGGGAACCAGGGAGAGGAGACGGCTCCTGGTGGTGCAGCACTTGAGCCAGCAGGGTGGACGTCGACCTCCCCACGACCTCCGTCTCCTCCCTCCTGTCCAGCTTCTGTTTATCTAAACAGCCTGCGTCCACTGAAGGCATCAGCGATGGTCTGCTGGCACCGATGTGTCTGTGAGGGGGAGGCAGAGAGGGAGGGGGGAGAAGCGGCACCAGGTTTTGGTTCGAAAGGGGGAGTGTGTGGGCTTGTACGGCCCAGAACCGCTGCTCCTCACCCCTGCCCTCCCAGCTGGGCTGTTCCAGAGTGTCCTCCCAGCTGTTTCCTCCCTTCAGGCCCTCCAGGTCGTCGGCCGTTTCCTGCCTGCGGAGCCGGCGGTCCCGGTTCTCGTACAGCAGCGTTGCGGCGCAGATGAAGATGAACAGGCCCACTCCCATCACCACTGGCCCGGTCAGTTTCATCCTTTCGGCGTGGGTGCTGCCACGGCCGCCCACGGGCCTGGGCGTCGTGGTGACGTAGCCGGCCACTGCCACGCTCATCCCCACCAGGACCACAAAGACCCCCAGCAGGAGCCACACACCCGGGGCGGAGCGCAGGTGTAATTTGGTCTGTAGATCTGGGCCCTTCTTCAAGTGCCTGGTGCATGCTGGGAGGCAGGCAGGTGAGGAGTGGGTGGAGTGGGAGGAGGTGGGGCTGGAGACTGGACTGGTCGCCGTCATCCTGTGGCTTCACGCTGAACACAAGGGGCGGACGGAGAGAATCATGTGACGGAATTAAACGACATTTATTCATGTGGAAACTGCTGAACATTCATCCTAATAACTATCCTAATAATAAATAGATTTATTGCATGTTGCTGAACATTCATCCTAATAAATATCCTAATAATAAGTAGATTTATTGCATTTTTTTATATATACAACAATCTTGATAAATTAAATTAAACAACATGCTGCAGTATATATATATTTCAAAATCAACAATCTTGATGAATTAAATTAAACAACATGCTGCAGTATTTAATGCAAACGTACACACACGCAGACACATTTTGCATGGGTGGCGACAGATGAGCTGTGACACTGAGACTGTTACAGCGCCCTGGAGTCACGTATATATTAATAGTTTTTTTTATGTTTGTGTAATCTCTTACTCCTGCTGTGATTTGGCTTTTTGATTAAGTAATATACAGAATTGGGGCCAAATGTAGGAACGATTTAATACAATTAATCGTGATTAATTGTGAGCTACTCTGTGAATAATCACATATTAATTTGTTATAAATCTTCCAGAACTTTAGAGAAATATACAACCAATTATGAAACTTGCACAAGACAAGAACTTCGTGATCGTTTTAAATTCTAATCGTACGATAAAAACCGTGCACCGCCGCAGCTTTACTTTACATCTTAAACAACACAACATATGTTGAGGCTTCGCCCAGCCAGCTTCAGCGCCACCACCTGTCTCTGCGGCGCAACAGGAACTGAGCAGCGATCCGAACCCGCTCAGAACCAGGACTGAAGTGAGAGTGGACCCGGACTTTGTGGCTCCGCAGACCGCAGTCATGAACGTGCACCTACGCCGGTGTGAGCTGCGACCGCAGCGGCGTCAGCACAAGTCACACAACAGTCCACAGGTTTTATATAAGTGCCGCTACACATGCATCTTTAATGTTGTTTATTTTTAAATTCCACTGCGGGATTCTCTGCAGTTTGACCAGCGCAGTCACTCACGTCACGTCACGCCGGCTTCTTACCTTGTTTGACTCGTCAATCCCAGTCAAAAACTGGACCCACGATATGGTCCGGATCGATCAGCCAGAGTTCCGCGATAATTCCCACTGTTCCACTTTGATCCGTTACTACAGCCATACTTTTTTTTTTTTTTTAATCTCAGCACCAGCAGATTGACGAGGTGTTTCACCCCTGCTCTGACTGTTGCTGCTGACTGTTGTTGCTGCTGACTGTTGTTGCTGCTGCTCAGGGTGAATCAAGATGTTGTAGTAAATATCAGTCTCTATGAAAGTGGTGCAAAGCTGCTCTGCCCGTGTTCCCTCACTGCTGTGAGTCTATGTTGCCTCCGTGTGTGTGTGTGTGTGTGTGTGTGTGTGTGGAGGAGGAGGGGTCGTGGGAACCTGTGACTGGTCCAGACCAGTCCCACGGTACATACAGTTTATTCTTGGTGGTCATCAGTCAGCTGCTGGGTTTGTTTGTTTGTTTTCCAGTGCACGTTTATTATTGTATATTTTTTTTGTCATAAAAACAATAGCTAGTAAAGTGCAACAGTGACCTTAGATAGAGTTAGGTCAGTTAGATAATTAGGTTTGATTATTATTTCTATTCACATTGTACTGTTGAATGGCCTGCTGATACGTGTATTAGGTGTGAGTGTTAGTGTCTGCAGCTGCAGCTCAGTGATGGATGAATCACTGTCCTGCCCACATTCACTCTGATAGTTACACCCCCTCTTTAAAAAAACATAAAAAAATAAATAAAAAAAGAATGCACTTGTGTAATAACAATGAATACTTTTTACACAATTTCCAATCAATTGTATTCCTTTCAGATCTATGTAGAAAAAAAAATGCATATTTTACCAGGAATTTTAAAACTTTTTTGGAGAATATTTGAAATATTAGAATATATGTTTCTCTTGGGCTGAACCATTGGACATGTCTTCAGTGGACCAAAAATGTCAGCATATTAACATTTAAATTCTGCAATTAAGGAAATAAATGACCCTAAAGAGCTTGTCATAATTATTATTAACTAACATATGGTATGACTTGTGCGTAGCTTGTTGGTTGTAGTTTTATTAAAGAGCTTGTCATAATTATTAACTAACATATGGTATGACCTGTGCGTAGCTCGTTGGTTGTAGTTTTAATGTGACAGATGTCAAATAAACACACACTTTTTGATCGGAATTTAAAGAATCTGATCCATTGTAATTGGTTCTTGTGATTCATATCTTTACCCACAACATAGTTAAACTCTCCGGCCCCTGATTCGTCACGCTTTTGTCTGACTACACAAACCTCAGACCTACATTAAGTAGTGCACTTAAGTCAATGTTTTTTCCACTACTTGAATTCCCAAATGTACAGATAAATACCACAGTGTGTGTGTGTGTGTTTTACAAGGACCGGGGTCAGACGAGGACAGCAGGCAGTGTGCATCGCATTTATTTTCACCCCATTCACACATTCCTTTAAACAACCACATGTACCTCAGGAGCAGCCAGAGAAACGTTCCATTACCTCTTAAATTAGAATACATAAATAAAAGCCGTTTGCATATAAACAGTAGCTGTATGTGCTGGACGTACACGCTCCACTGGCTGAGGTGCACTCCTCCACAAAAACACTGAGCGGGTTTCTCTGTCAACCAGAGGTGAAGATGAACTGAGGTTTATTTCTCTCTCTTTTTTTTTCTTTTTTTTTTTAAGTTCACTGATACTTTTTTGATACGTTTTACCCTGGAGACAAACACCAGGGCTTTGCAAAACCAAACAGGAGTAAAATCGTGTGAGAGGCAACGTTGACCTTTAGTAATTATAAACTATTTACATAGAGAATGACAGGGTTATTCATACAAGATCATTAATGTAAACAAAACTGCCAGAAGTTGTTTTTCTTTTAGAAACAAACACATTCATGTGCCATTTGCGGAGAATCAGAGGCGGGCCAACAGAGCTGCTACATTCTTTTACACCACCTTAGAGGGAAAAGGGCAAAATATCCTGGACTTAACAATTAGCTCTTAGCTCTGCTCCGCCTGTCACAAAAGAAAACCTCCGACCAACAACACTACACAACACTCTCTCTCTCTCGCACACAAACACGCAAAGGCTGGTGGGAAATTACATGCTCATTCTTCAACACACACACACACTTCACACGCAAGCACACACGTACACACTAAATGTTAACCATCCCTCATTCAGTCTGAGCTGTAGCCAACTTTAAATTGACCAGGCTCTTTCAGCCTGCGGGCCCGTGGAGTGGCCCGTTGTCTCCATCTGCAGGAGGAACGCTGAACTACGTAGTGCTTTTGCTCCACAGGTTTCACATTTTAAAACTTTACGATTGTATTTTGCAGGATTAAAAAAAGAAATTGCAAAAAAAGTAACAAAAAAAACCCATGCTTGTCCCATCTGCTCTGAAGCACCATTTACAGTTCATATAAAACTAAAGAAAAACAACAAACTCAAAACACTAAGTTCAAACTGTACACATTAACCAAGTCATGAAGGTGCTGTATGTTTATGATGTGATAGGTAAATAAAGGCAAAACAAGTGTCGTCCTGGTGGTCTCCTCCCTGTGGTGGGCGAGTGCCGTCTGTCACAGAGAGAAACAGAGGACGGATGGACGTTAGCTCTGGTTTCTGCCATGGAGCGGAGTCTTTAACAGGAAAAAAACAAGCCTTGTAGCAGAGTGTTGATGGAAGTGGAACCTTTGAGGAGGGAATTAATCTTTAGGGGGTCAGGTCCGGCTCTTCATCCACGTGCTTCATCATAAGGATGGAGTTGAAGACCTTCAGGGCGGGGCCTAACTTGATTCCCAGAATCTTGACGATGTCCATTTGATTGAGCAGCAAAAAAGCCTCGCCATCAATTTGCTGGAAGCAAAACGAAAAAAGAAGATTCAAATTTACAGATTAGTTTTCCTTAAAAATGTAATAGATAACTAATACCTCACAAAATCTAAGGGTTAAAATCTTTAAAACAGCAGTAAACAGTGTTTACTTGCTGACTTGATAATCCACAGTTTAAATTCTGCTTTTTGTTTGTCACATTTCATCTGTGTTATTTATGGAATATTTTATGGTTTAGTCGTGTCATTTTTCATTGGTGCAGGAGCAGCATTCGGTCACAGGTGTTGTCAGTGCCCTCTTGTGGTCATAGTTGATACTGTATGGGTTTAATTTTTTTGACAATGCATAAGAAAAACAACTAAGAAAATACTCATAGTCCACAGAATACTTTACTTAATCTAATCTAATTTTATTTTATCAATCTTTACAGTAATAATGTATCATTAAGACTGTGTTTATAGCACCCCCTGGTTGAGAAGGAGGGCATTGTGCTGACTACTGCAATTAAAAAAAAAAAATCTGTGTCAACTCAATATAACTTGGGTTTTTATCGTACATGTTGAAGAGTGAAATTGTTTTAGGATCAACTTTGGTTGAAAACAGTCATCTGAAGGTAATAAAACAAACACTAAGGTAAAACACTCACCTCTGTTTTAAAGACCGTAGCATATTCTTTACATCCAGGAAGTCCTTTAACAAAACCCGCCACCTGAGGAATGAGAAGAAATCAATGTCCAGTGGACTGCTACAGACAGGGAGCCACAGTGGTGTCAGTGGTGGTGTCAGTGGAGTCAGTGGTGGTGCTGTGTTTGTGTTGCTGTTACTCGACGTGGTCATGTTTTGTTACGCCACTGAGGGAAATGTCTGCAGTGAGTGTGAAGGAGCCCAGCTGACCTCCTCTGCGTTCCAAGCAGCCACTTTTTGGGCATTCAGTCCCACGACCTCAGGCAGCAGCTGGCAGTGTTTGTCCCAGCAGAGAGCCACCCGGTGGTGAGGAGAGGTGGAGATGCCAGGAGAGAACACAGACTCGTGGAGGGCCTGCTGGAGAGAGATGGAGTCTGGGGAGGCTGTGGGGGAGGAAACAGAAGGAGGAGGAGGAAAAGAGGCTGAAGTCAGCGAAGAGGAGGGAGGCTGATTTTTTTTTTTTTTTAATTCTGCTGTGTTGTCTCTTACCTTTACCGTCACCGATCTCCTCCTTAATATAGTGCATTTTCAGATATTTGGGAACGGGAGCAGTTCTGAGAAAACAGTGTAGAGTTCAAATATTAATAGGTGACCAAAACATCCACTGCACCAGGTATGAACTGAATAAGGCTCCAGTAATGATCTAGGTACTTCTTAGGCTGTGTTTCCATGAGATGCTAGCAGGTTACAGCAGTTTGTATTAGCTTCTTACCTGATGGCTAAACAGAAGGTCAAAAGTCTTTGGATCGGTTCACTTTTTTTTTTTAGTACAAGTATTTGAAAAAGGGATCTGCAGCATCATTGAGCGTGAACCGACGGGTGTTACAGATGATGGAGCGTCGTTCGAACTGTGGATAATATTTTGTGTATGTGTTTGGCAATATGAGAAATAAACACCTCCATGGTGCCGTTCATATCTGAGTGACTGAGTGATTGCTGGTACCGTTTAGGTCTTGTTCCATTTTGGCTCTGCTCACTGGCTCCACCCGTTGGCTCAGGCGGATTGCTGCATCCCAATCGCTCAGGTTCCACCAACTCTGGTTTCCTAGCAACACAGATAACGGATGTTGGACAGAGCTGCATACAAAGCCCATTAAAGAGTAGCCGTGGGAGTGAGGGTGTGTTTTTTCACAGCGTGTCCTTGGCTGTGCTCAGCAGCAGACCTGTTCTGGGACTCCTCGGCGGCTGCTTCGGTCTGCTCAGGTGTAGAGGCGGGCTGTGGCGTTGTGTTAGTCGCAGGATCGGGACGACGCCCCCTGGGGGGAGGTCCGCTGAGGGTGAGAGGTCGTTCGCCACTGAGGCGGTCGGGCAGCAGGCCCTCTTTGTTCAGGTTCATCTCAGAGTAAGGACAGCTCACCTGACTGAGGACCAGAAGACGGAACCTCTTTAGCGTTTTTACATTATTACCTTTTAACCAGTTCAATGAATCAACAAAACGCTGCATCAGCCACTGACGTGTAGTGAGTCCCATAGCGAGGTCCTCTGATGTGACCCACTCCGTTACACCCTGGGGTTGGACAACCTTGTCCAGGAGGTGGCAATATCTCACTGGGCCCTGAAATAAACAAAGGTTGGAATTGAACCTGTAACCCTATGCATGTTAGGCATTGTCAAATATTTAATTATCTTAGTAATACAAATGTATTCATAACTTTACTGTAGATATAACAGATGACAGTTCTACTGTAGTGACCCTCCAGCTACTTTGTGGCTAATTTGTTTTATTCGTGGTCCATCTGAAGTCACATTTGCCTACTGTTAGCTATCATTATCATTCTCTGCAAAATAAATACATATAATTGTTGTTGTTCTTCAACATTAATATCAGAACACCTCAAAGAGTTTCAGCTATCTGTGGTTTTACTCTAAGAAAGTTTTGGGAAAGAATGGGTAACATAAACTGGTCCACTGGTATTTCCAGGTCATAAAGACCTGTTTTAACAAGTCCTTGCTTCAATGCAGACAGATGTAAAATAACAGTAAACAAGAGATAGCTCCGAGCTGACCATGGCCTTTGTTTTAGGAACAGCATGTCTAAAGATGATCAAATATCACATTCTGTAGAGAAGTGAGGGATGTGGAATTACTGCATTTTTAAAAATTAATTAATTTTTCTATTTATGTCACAGTAGGAAAAAATAACTAATTTAAAGTTGTATTATTATTATTTTTTAGACAGAATCATTTTTTACTGGTAAAATTAATTAATTTTTTCTATTTATGTCACAGTAAGAAAAAATAACTAATATTATTTATTTTTTTTAGACAGAATCATTTTTTACTGGAGTTAGTGTTAAATGTACATAAAGTTCAGTGGAACTGAGGTTAGGTCATGTTACCGTTAGGATACTGTAGTGGGTGTCCGGTTTTCTGACACCACCCGACGGGGTGCAGGTCGGGGCAGTCCGTCTCCACCCAGTAGTCATACTCAGAATTCCAGCCATCAAAGTGGATCTGGATGATAGAAGATAAGATAAGTACACGATCTCGACTATGACGTCAGACAAAACAAGAGTGAGGAGTCGGACCGCACCTTCAGACGGTGGTCCTCCGTGTCTGCTATGGTGGCAACACGGACGAGCATCGGGTTCCTCTTGTCGACAGCTTCCACCTTCATTCCAATCTGAAAACCGTGCAGAGGTCGCTGCCAAAACAGAGCAGCACGTTAAACCAACACTCGCCTCGGGCTTCTGCAGTAAACACAGGGAAAGGTTTGGTTAAATATTGATGTGAATTTTTTTTAAAGTTTACTGGTTTGAAAGCTCGAGCAGGAGCGGCCTGTGTTCCTGTTTCCTCCATGTACTTCTCCCAGGAGAAACTCTTGGGCTGCTTGTACTCTGAAAAACACAGTAAAGATTCATTAGAGTCAACAGTATGGTTCAATTCTGTAATATTACATTAAACTGATATCTATTACTGTAAAAAAATATATTTTGTTAAAAAACAATTTTATGACTCAAACAGTTAATTAACAGAAAAGGTGTAAAACAGTATTTGAAGTAGTGAATACTGACCCACATGCGTCTTGGTCTGTGTCTTACCAGCTGGGGTGGTCAAAGTTAACTGAGCCTCTTCACAGTAGCCCACAGGATGGACATATGGACTGCTGGGGTCGCACCTGACGGCAAGACATATCATAAGACCAACGCCTGGAGTTCACTAATTCAACTTAAGTTACCTCGTTGTGATTAGTGGCTAATTTCCCGGTGTCGGGTCAACAGAACAGGTTCCCACCAGTAATCGTACGTATCGTCCCAGTTGTCGAAATGAATGAGCAGACGGTTGTCGACCACAGCAGCGATGGTTGCTACGCAGATCAAAGAAGGGTTCTTCCTGTCTACGGCCTCCAACTTCATCCCTGCTCTAAAACCGGACGGAGTCACAGACTGCAAAAGATAAAAAAAGGAACCACAGAAATGTAGTCTGCACAGAGTGAAGGTAAGATGTGAGATGTGGTTAAAACCTACTGTGTTGAGACTCTTGAAAAGGTGTTTGGGGGCCAGTTGACCCCGACAATTCTTGACGTACATGCTCCAGTTGAACTCTCCGTCTTTACATCCTGCAGGAGAACGAAAGTCACGGAGGTCGATATTATTACTTTACACACAAAAAGTTTCATCCTGAGTAATTCTCCTGACTGTGATTGGTGGCGACCTTTAGGCAACAACAACTTGTGTCCGTTTTTCTCACACCAGCCCGGTGGTTTTAAATCCCAGGAATCAGCGTTGGCCCAGAAGTCGTGGCATTCTGGGTAACCATCGAAGTGAAGCCGTACTCTGTATCCTTGAATCTGAAATTACAAAGGGACAGAAGACACGCTCTCAGGACTGAAGAAGACATGACGTGGCTGACCATTAGGTTATGAAGAATCTTTTATTTGTTCAAAGTTAATGAGCACCGGGTGATAATGTGAAAGTCTTACTATGATCATTTAAATTATTCATGATATTTAATATTGATATAAATAATTCATGATATAAATAAAATCAGTATTTCTCCAGGGAGGAAAAACGGAGCGTCTACTCCTGCGTTAATTACAGTTCAGTCACACACAGCGCATCACAGAACCACACACACATTTCTCCTCTGAAAACACACACACAGTCAAGAAAAGATAAAACTGGTCTTTGTTTCACATTCAGGGAAAACCAGACGGTTGTTCTTCTCCACAGTAACTCACTCATGAATAACAACGCTGTAGCGACTGTCAATAATAACAACTGATGGTTGTGTCTGTTCAAACATGGACGAAATGTGTTGCATCGATGCTTCATCAACCAGATCCAAAATGTTAATATTTAATATCATATCTGTTGTCTCATCACCCAGACCCATGATAAAATCAACGGTACCTCTGCGACGGTGAGCACACAGAAAAGAGACGGGTGAGACGGGTCCAGTCCTTCCAGCTTCATCCCCACCTTAAAACCGTTCCTACTCTGAGGGAACGACTGATGCTGCAGGACAGAAACACAGCGGAGCAGAACGTCAGTTTGTCCTGGAGGGAAAACAGTGAGCTGGAAGGCGTCAGAGGAGGGATATTAAATTTCACCTCTTTGAAAAGTTTGACAGGAGCAGCAACAGCTCGTTCCTCCTCCAGGTAGGACGGCCAGCTCCAAGCTCGCTTCTTAGAGGCCGGGGCTGCCACTGCTGGTGGGGGCAGAACAGTCGTGGTTTAGTGAATTTGTTTTTTTTCATGCTGATTATTTAACAATTCAAACACAACAGTGTGAACGATAACTTGATAATTAGACTTCTAACAATCTTTGCTAACAAGTCTTTGATTTATTTTCACAGCACAGAAGCTGCGACATAAACAAATTAATTTAACAGGACAAATGATGAAAAATGATAAAAAAAACAATAATGAATGGGGAGAGTTAGCTAACATACCCAATTTTGCAATTTTTGCTCCTCTTCTGCCTTTGGTAGTCTTGGCTTTTTCCTGCAAAATCAATGAAAATCAAATCAAAGAAGAATGTTTAAACACTTTATACTCCCTTTCTGTTGATATATATAGAAAAGGAAGGACATTTTTATTAATCCGTGTTTATGGAGCTTATTACTTCCAACACTTGTTTCAACAGTTTCTTCGTTACCTCTGGTTCCTCCTGGTTTTCTTCTTCTTCGTCTCCTGAATCCATGTAGATCTTCCTCTTTTTGCGAACGCGTTTACTGAGCCGCTCACCTTCAGCTGTGTGAATCTCCCGAGCTTCACTGGGAGACGATCTTTAAAAAAAAAGAATTTAACAAAGAGAGATAAATCAGAAGACAAACTGGAAGTTAAAAACAGACTTCCACATAATTTTCATTTTTCAACTTTCACTTTCTCAACAAACAATCACAGCATGACCTAAACCTGCTTGGTGCGTTTACTGCGTTAGAAAGTTTTTCAAGTTATTTCAAGTTATTGTTAAGTATGTGTGCAGCAAACAGACACGTTAGAGGAGGCCTTAAACTAACAAACTGTTTGTTACCTGCCACTGGAGGGCTGTGCACAAATGGAGCTACAGAATTTTCCCTGAAGAAGGGCAGTTTGAGGAACACGACTACTGCAGACCCGGCACTGTGAAAGCTCTCCGTTTGAGCCATTCTTGCCTACATTAGAGCCAACCACAACACTGGGACCTCCTGCTACACTAGAGCCCGCCTGTAAAGATAGAACAGCAGGACCAGGAGCTAGAAGACAAGAGAAGAAGACATAGGTTGAACCTACAGCTGTTCATTAGACCTGATAAATTAACATCAATCATGTGTTGGTATACCTTTGCCTTGAGATGATCCAGGTTGATTCTGATTGGCTGGAGCTTTGGCTGTACCAGCCTGTGACTGCCCTTCTGGAGGAGGGGTGGGAGTGTGTGACGGAGCTGGGTCCAAGGTCTCACGATTAGGCTGTGTTTCCTGCCCTTTGACCTCTAGATCTGTCACAATCTCAAGTGTCCCAAACTCTGTCATGCGGAACTGTAGGACACAAGCAATAAAATCAAATCTCCTACGTATATCAAAGATTGTTAACACAGGGCAGAGAAAAAAGATCTTAAAATATTGACAGTATTCTGTGATGTTGAGGAACATGTAATGTACAGTAAACAGACCTCATGAAACAATGAGAAGAATAAGAGATATATTTAATCATAAAATACAATTTTATTAATGTCCTAAGATCAGAAGTGGATTGACTTGATTGTTACTGAACTTCTTTGGTAAAAAAAGACCCAGATGGCTGAACCTAAACAGACAAGTTGAAAAAGACTCGGATGGCTGAACCTAAACAGACAAGTTGACAATTTTTTTTTCTTAATCTTACACAGTGTAGCCCCAGGAAGTTAAAAAAAAAGCTTATTGTGGGTAAAGAATGATCTCTCATACCCTAATGTCACTGCCTGGTAATGTGGCTATACCATCCTTCCAGTCCAGAGCGCCCATCATATCAAACTCCCCTCCCTGAGAAGGGACATCACTGGGTGGAGTGTCTGTCATTCCCACTCCTTAATTATCCACAAACCTGGAAAAAACAGTCCAATCAAATACTGCAAAATACATTCTGAAAAGTAAATTAAATAATACAGTTTTCTGTACACGTCGGGCTAGTTCAACCGTGCTCAGTCGTATTTGACCAATAGCTTTTGTTTTCCGTACTCTACCGTGCGGTGTGCTGCTTCCAACTACAAATGGAGTTTCTACCTGCACTTGTAAACAGCATGGCGCAACATCACCGCCAGATGGCGACTGTGTGTCGGCTTGCAGGATACACCATGCACTTCGATTTCAGACAAAACAGTCAATATTAATATTGTTTTGGTGGACAACGACAATAGAAATACCCGCACAAATGGTCTCATTATAGTAAACCTTTGTCAACGCCATTGACAAACGCCAGGAAAGAAGTCTCAACTTTGAGTTTACCGCATAAGTTCATCTTTTCCTTGTTTTAACACTATCTCTTAAAATCGTCTGTTTGTCTGCTCATAAACAACAAGGAGGACAGTTTGCTTGTTAGTTTTAAGGGGAACACTGTTTTCTGCACTCACTGGCCAAACTTAAATACAATTTATTTCGACTAATGTTGCCATATAACGTTTTAGTGTTGACGCATGATCAACAATGAAAAAATGTGATATTTTCTCAATGTACCACTGTTATTATCACGTAAAAAGTAAACAACAGTCCGAGCTGATTGATTTCTTTTAAGTTTGACTTTGCTCTCCATGGCTCAGTTTTATTCTGGCCATAAATAAAGTGAATGTAAGAGCGCCCATGATTAGCATTCGCCTTATACAAAATGGCGGAGCATAGGAAGAGGCCACCAACACGTTTAAACTATGTAAATTACTCAAGTTATCATTTTAAACAATTTGTGCAAAAACGTTACATATCGAACAGATGCAGATGAATGCGGTGTAATTTGCTGACTCTGTGTTTTCTTTCATTCTGATGATTTTCTTTACTTTCCCCTTGTCACGGAATGTCAGCCCAGGTTGCTAGCAACGGCTGACATTAGGCTAGCAGTCAGTTAGCTCTACTCCGTCCAGATGAACGGAACACAGCTACATGGCTAATCGTAGCATTGTGCCTGGATGCATCCAGCTAAGGACAATCTGTAATAAATAAGTTTCCCCGTTAATAACAAGAAAAAAATCCGGTTTTTGACCAACAATAATATTTCGTATCACATCGCACATTACCGAAATAACACAATGCGTATGTTTGAAGCTTCAACATTGTTGCTTGATTAATTTCTTCAATAGAAACTTGAAAAAACGATTTATTCTCGCTGCTTTAAATCAGTGTGGAAAAAGAGAGAACTAACCTTACTGAACAAAACGAATGCCGATTTTTCTTATTTCGCCACTGTTATTATAAATAATGGAGTCTAAACTGACGCATTGTATAAAAATGTGGAACTCACCTCGTTTCTGTTTTAACTCTTATTTAGAACAGGGTAGATTAGAAGTGCGCATGCGCTTAAGATGCGCTGCCTGACAACTTTGGGTCTGGGAAAAGTTCTCTATCGATGGTCAATAACAGGCCTATGAGCTCGCACAACACGCCCTAGCCTTTAAAACTCCGTTCGCTGCCGATATAACAAACCGTAGCACCTGAGCGAAGCTCATGTTTCAGCCTATGTTCCCTTCTCAAGCGGAGGTATGTGTGTGAGTTCGGAGCGCAGAGACCGCAGTGTCTCTTATAAACGTTCAGAAGCGGCTTCTTCATCTGCGGCTAAACCGGCTCTTTCCCCTCCGGTTCTTAACCCCCCTCACGACCACTTCAGAAATGCACCCCGCCGAGTACAGGCGGTAACCAGCGTCCACACACCCGCGCTGCCGGGAATGTTAAATTCACCACCCAGACACTTAAAATCATCTTCAACTCACATTTTCAAGTAAAACCCACTGGGATATGTTGCACAGAGGAAGTCTGGGGTGTTCCGCTGTCTTATATATCAATAGTTTAGAGTCACAGATGAGTAAAATCGTAGATTTAAAGAAGCCGAACAGTCCTGATACTGACGCTATCAAATCGGGTCAACCATGATCACACATGTGATTTATAAAACGCGACGATAGGATCTAATTTAGTTAAACCCCATTTATTGCATAATACGCTTTGTTTCACATAGCACCCCTCACGGCACTTAAATGCTACTTATTGCATAGGGTTTTGTCGAAAATGGCAGCTATTAGATTTAAAGTGTCGGCTCAGTATCAGTATCTTTGGGGGGGGTTTCTGACTTAGATATTGGGTCGCTGTGCCACTACACACTAATATTTAGCAAATTCATCTCCAGCCTAACCTGCAGCATTCAATCCCTCCCACATAGGGCGGTAATGCTTTTCTCCGGTGATAATAGTATACATGTCTCGCGTCTTTTTTTCGCAGTATTTTCGAGAATAAAAACCCTGCCCTTATCAAAATTATACAACAATGTCCCAAAGCATGTCGAAAATTATGGCCAACAGGTAGATTCTACGGAAAGTCGTTATTTAAGCCAACAAAGGGCGCTGAGATGCGAGGTAAAATGAGTTCAGCCCCGGCCGTTCAAAGCGTCGCTGCCTGTGCCTGTTCTCTGCGTTGGTCGCTGGGAGGCAGCAAACATTCACTTTCTGATGAGGGATTAACGTCGTTGCGAAGCAGTACCAGTCGGCGTCCTTCTGTAGCCACGTTATTTTATATTAGCACAAAAATATGAAGAGCGAAACATGAGATGGCATTTAAAGGCAAAGCTGTCGATTCGAAGGTAAGAAGAGGAGGCGGTGTGCCATGATTTAACCCGAATTCTGGACTGTCAATACCGCGAGTGGGGAAATTGTGTTCGGATAAATAAATACAGGGGGGTGATAAACCGGTGGATTATGATTGTAACACACGGAGACAATAGTTTGTTAATAAATTTAGAAGATGGCAGCAGATTACAATCGCCGTAAATTTGTCTGTACATCTCTCTTACTGCACACGAAGGAAGTGTGTGTACATGTGGATACACACATATATATATATATATATCACATATTGTTCTTCAATATGTAAGTGAGAGTTGACAATATGATATATAGACAAATGGAAAAAAAAAGCTACCACATACATGCATTACCATGATGATAGCTAAAAGGTAGCCCAAATAAGATAAATTTTAGCTAAAGTATGTAAAAAAACAAACTTATTTTCTGTCTCTTTTTTGAACCCACAGACTGTTCTTCTCAACCTTCTGCTGTGTCTCCTCATATTTTACTCCCTCTTCTACATGATTGGCAGTGTGTGCTTCGGTGCCTTCAGGTTTGAAACGTCTACACACATGATGTGACTGTGGCGATCACTGCAGCACTTTTGCAATCAAATGATTACTTTTTGTGACTAAAGACTGACTGGTCCTCCAATTGTTTATGACACATTTTACGAGGAAAAATAATGTTGCAGGTATCATTTTCCAAATTAGTTTTATTTTTGTTCTTTAGCCTGATTCTCTTGACTATTTCTACAGCTATGAACTAACAAAAATGAAACACACATGAAAAAGTCCCAAGTAAAAGAAATGTTCAAATTTATTTAGTGACTCAAAAGAAGTCTTCTACATTCCAGCTGTGGGTGTTGACATTGTGTTTTAGTACATGTGCATGTAATTTAAAACATCTCCATTTTTAATGAGCTCACATAAAAAAAAAGCTTATAAAGTCAGCAACAGTTGAACCTTGAAGATCTGTTGACACTTTCCTTCTCTCCCACAGGATGGACCACTTCGATGGCCTCATTCCATTTGACTTTAAGACTGAACCTGCTGATTCCAACTCCAAGTACTTGGGTGAGTACAGTCAACGCTATCAACAACAACACATGTGAACTTTGTTCAGGGTGATTCATGGATCTGCTTTACTGCTCTGACTCAGTGAACCTCCTCTCCTTGGAGCTCACCTTCTTCTGCAGTGGCCTTTTGTTCGCTGCCGTGGTGAGGAGGCGTGTGTGGGACTACGCCCTCACCGTCACACTGCTGCATGTGGGGATCACCAGCCTCGGTGAGTCGACCTCTGATGGCCTACATCCATCACCGAGGCCTACGTGGAACCTTGAGTGAGTTCTGTTTCTTTGTTACAGTAATGATGGAGTTTCCCATGGTGTGGCAGTGGTGGCTGGCCTTAGGTAAAATAGACTCAAACTTTATCGACACAGTTTCTTTATGAAAGCATGTTAGCTTTTACGCTTTCTTGTTCTGTCTTCCGTAGGGAGTGGCCTGTTTTTAATGATCTGCAACGGTCAGCTGATCGCTTACTTCAGCTGCCAGAGTGACCAGAGCTACGCCTCCTTCAGCACCTACTGACAGACTGTATAAGTCAACATCACCCAGCAGATTATCCTAAAGTAACAGCGGTCAAACACTAGGTCACAGCCTGGTCTTGTGTTGTTGTTGTCATTTGACCGGCAACTTAAACAGTCATTAACATCTATTTCATGTAACGATAATCACTAATGTGTTCAACGTGCAGCTTTGGGAACAATTTTGATCCTTGACTAGAAGCTAATTTTTGGCTAACATAAATACAGGATGTTGATGGTTTTCCTCAGTTGCACAATCCTTCGATACCGTGTGGGATCTAAGGAGGCATGAGAAGTATTTTCACTTCCATATTTTCAAACTTTGAATGTTTTATCTCTATGTTGCACTACATGTTGTTATTTAAAGATAAATGTCATGACACGGGTTTAAATAGTATTTATTTTCCCATATCCAGGAAATACATGTGAAGTAGTGACCAGCTACTACACATTATGAAGCAGTGGTTATACTTGAAATAGCAATATTTAATGTAGAACATTAGAAATGTGTATTCACATGTTCAAAAGTTAAGTTGCGTTAATAAGTTATGAAATAAAAAATAAATATTTGACTCCACTTGCTCCCAAAGGGTTTGGTGTTGTTATGAACTATACTCCCAAAGGGTTTGGTGTTGTTATGAAACCAGCTGTGTTGCCATGTACTCCACTGGATTCATGAAGGAGAAGCCAGGAAAGGCCTCACTGGCTGCACTCCTCTGGCACCGATCATTCACCGAGGCAGGTACGGGTTGTAGCGTGAACTCAGGGTCAATTTGACTGACATCACAAGGACCGGTCTGAATCAGAGGAAAAGATACACAAAGATAATCTACGCTGTATGTGTAATTATTTTTTAAACAGTCTCCTCCATTGATGTCTACGTCGTTCATACCACATTTGGGACGAACGGAGGTTTCACTTTTCTGGCCAGCAGGTCGTCCCAGTTGGTGGAGGCAAAGAAAGAATGTTCCTGCAGCTCCACCTGCAACAACAAACAAGACGTCATCCCCCCTCAGATGGAGTGGAAGTAAAAAAGGGTGGATAACCTTTGTGTGACTGTGTTACTAAGTTCTTGAATTTTCTACACAAAATCTTGGGTTAAACGCAAACAACGTCATCTGCGTGTGATCATAGTCGATGAACTCAGTCTTACAAGGTCACTGTTGGCCCCCAGGCGTCTTGTGGGGTCCCGCTCCAGCAGACCCTTCAACAGTGAGCGTGCCGACTGTGACACCCCACTGCGCAGCTGCAGAGGAGCATGAAGTTTGTTCTCAAACATCTCTGCTTTACTGTGGCTGTAAAATGGAGGCTGGGGGAGACAACACAGAGCCGGACTGAGCCTCTGACCACGGAGATCGGTGAGATTATGATGACAGTCACGTGTTATTTCACTCTAACTTACCAGGCCGTACAGCATCTCAAACAGCACAGCACCGAGCCCCCACCAGTCCACTGCTGGGCTGTAGGGGTGGCCTCGTAGCACCTCGGGAGCCAGGTACTCTGGGGTTCCACAGAATGTATGCATCATCCCACCAATAGAGACGCCTTCCTTACAGAGACCAAAGTCGGTCAGCATTACATGACCACCACTGTCCAGCAGGATGTTCTCTGGTTTGAGGTCTCTAGAAGAGAAAGAGACTAAATGTCAGTTGGAAAAATGGACAAAACGTCAAAACAGAACGTGAATGTAAACAAAGCCATTTTCTGTGTATAGCGCTTCGTGATGGCGTATTCGTCCACACCGCTCGCCAACTGTGCGAACTATTCACTGAGTTTTAAAGCCATAGGTTGGAATAATGAAACAAGACTTTCTCAATAAATTTATGAACTATTCACTTGAGTTTCACGGAGTTTTAACGCCGTAGGTTGGAATAATGAAACAAGACCTTCTCAATAAATTTATAGGAGGTGGTGACATGGCCACGAAACGCTGTAGGTCAAGGATGTCGTAAACATGAGGACCCCATACCCATATCACTTAATCAAAAACTAATCGATTTGATTAATTAATTACTTCAACAAGAGAGTAAATAATTGTTATAACGACGCAGACACATGCCTGTAAACAATGTCCAGGGAGTGGAGGTAGCCTAGTGCCATGGCCATCTCTGCAGCGTAGAAGGCTGATCTGAGTTCAGGAAATGACCCCTCCCTCTGAAGATGGTAAAAAAGCTACAGAAAAGTAGACATGAGAGGTTAAACAAAATAATGTAACGTAACTATGTCTTTTTAAGAATTTTTTATCAACACATACCTCGCCTCCATTTACGTAATCCAGCACAAAGTAAAGCATATTTGGAGTTTGGAAAGAGAAATGAAGTCCGACGAGGAACGGATGTTGGAGTCCCTTCAACAGTACGCTCCTCTCAGACATCACGTGTCTCTGCTGCAGACACAACAGTGAGTGGACACGTGCGAGTACACAGAGACAGACAGACTGACAGACAGGTGTAGATTACCTCTTTGTGTTTGACAATTGCCTGTTTCTGCAGCACTTTCACAGCATAGTAGCCTCCTTGTTTTCTGTGTCTTGCCAGCAACACCTGTAATTGTTTTTGCAAACATTACCTTTGCCCCAATATCAACTCAGAAGAAGAAAAAAACAAGTGAAGTAAAAAAAAAAAAAAACCTTTCCAAAACTTCCTCTGCCGATGACTCTGAGGTAATCGAAGTCAGATGGTTTTATCCTGACAGAAAAACAAACAAATAAAGGCAAAAAAAAAAAAAAAAACACTCCAGGTCAGAACCTGCTTTTGAATAATTTAAGACTGAAATCCAATTCCTTCCAAAAGTTATTTCAGTTCTGATGCTTCAAAAACATGATTTTTAAAAATTGCTTGGTGGAAAATCTGATCAATAAAATACTAAAGTACTACTAACATATAATAACAACACACCTGAGAGATTTTTCTTAACGTGTTTTATCAATAAATGCAGTCACACTTTCAAAATAATTCCATATCTCTACTGTATTTTCACAAAAGTCTCAAATATGACGCACTAAACACTAACCAAAAACCACATATTTATCAATTTTATGTGTATTTGCTGATGTTTCTCACTGAGAGTTTGTTGTGTCCACTCTGTCCACTGGACCCTGAGGGGAGAAGACACAGAAAGACCGTGATGGTCATGAGGTCAGATTCAGTTTCACCTCCTGTCAACACGAAGTGCAGTATGTCAAAATCCTCCTCACTGAACCCACCACAGAACTTTTCTTGTCCTTCTGTCGACGAGCTGCGAACATTTTCTGGGTGTCCAAGCTTCAAACCGGAGGGAAAAACATAACAAACTGTGAATATATTAATGTGACTAAACAAATAATTGTAAAAGAACGTAATATTTGTGCTCCTCACTGTTGACAGACTTGCTGACTGGGGACAACTTTGTGTAAAAAGTCACTGAAGCCACATTTCTTTCCCTTAAGCAGAGCTGTAAAAATAGACGACGGTCATAAATAACGGAAAAGTTAACAACTTTATATTTGAATTTCTCTAATTCGTGTGACAAAATAA